TCTTTTTGTCAACAGAATAAAAACAAAGCCATATCTCAGTAGTTTGTGATTTATCAACGGTCTGTGTTCGGGGCTCATTTGTTTCTACTGAAGACATAAATCTGGTCAGGAGTTTTTTCAGTGGTTGTTTAGTTTCCCCCATTATACAAGTCTGTGCATTCCTCACTGCACTGGACTGCTTTACTTGTGTTTGGGTGTGCTGTCTTTCTGGTGGACCAGTCTTATTGCGCTGCTGGGTTTGAGTCTTATTGTGCTGCTTGGTTTGAAAAACACAGGGATGTGGTGTCTGTTGAAAATTCTCCAGAGTTTCTCAGATACACGTATAGAATGACGATGTTTATTTTTCTTTGCTTCACGTCCTGCAGTGTTGGTGTTCTTCCCGTATCTTGTGGCAGCCACAAGCTTGAAGTGCATCATTTAGAAAACAAATAGGAAATACTGCTATTTTCTGTTAGGGCTGCACAATATGGTACAAACAATTACAAGATATTGTGTTATGAATCACAATTAATCATCATTTTTATTGATTTTTTTTATTTTTATTGAAAATCATGATGATGTGACATTTGTACCAAACAAACATGCTTTCTTACTTCTGTAGAACAATGTCTGTAGGCCAGTACTTTATCATAAAGCTGCACACACTTTACCTTTATCAAAAAACTGCAGCTTCTGCAATTTGGATATTGCGTTTGGCCATATTGCTTGATTTCGATAATATTTTGATTGATTTAAACATTTGGTGCCCTAGTGCATATGACTTCTTGGCTGTTGTGCTCTCTGTCTTACTAGCACCTCATGGTATGTATGTGTACAGTTGATTTCCAGTCAAATGTCGATGTTTTTAGTGTCTTCTTGTATAGAGCTCATATTTCTGTTTGTTAAGTCTCCCTTTTTGACATTTGTTGCAAACTGCAACACTTGAAATCAGTATGAAATTAGTATGCTGAAATGGGAACTGTGCATATAATTTGAACCCACAGGGGTTCAGAGGGTAAACAAATACTATTTGTTAGGTTTATTACTGATAAACAAGCTTGGTGGAAGGTCGGGAAGGTTAATGATTTTAGCTCAGATGTGCATGTTTTCATGAGGATATCAGCCTTCTTGTACAGAGCTCTCATATATAATTACAATGTCCTGATTATTGGAGAAAATGTATTTTTTATGTTGCTATGCATGTTACCTATATGAACTGAATACAATTATAGATCTGTGGAGATTAACCTTTTGATTCCACTGATGAACAAGAAGTCTTATAGTCTTATATTTCTGGCAGCAGGACGGTGTTCACAGTGTTCATTATCAACAGTGTAACAGTTTTTAGGCGTATGCATAAAAATGTGGCTTTGGCTGCACAAATAATGCTGATTAGTGGAGTAAATTGTTTGTTTGGGATTTGTTGACAATGAGAAAAATCTGAACTTTTGCCAGCCTTATCCTTTAATTTGCCAGTGTGTGTCTTGTTCTTAACCTGCTTAAGTCTCTCACGATGGAAAGAAATCGTTGATCACTACATAAAATACATAAATAAGTGAGATTATTTCATCTACATGTCTTTATTTATTGTCTCCTCCTGCTGTGAACTGAACTCCCAGCAGCAGTACCTGATGTTTTTAACACACAGAGAGGGCAGCACCAGAGGGTTATGTGAGACCAGATCCAGCATACTAGGTGCAACATTTTCAGATGGATGGTGGCCCTACTGGCAACATCACAACTGCCCAAAAAGATTTCATCTCAGCTCATGGCCCTTCTGCTGCTCGCTGCTGCCGAGTGATTTAACACAAAAGTGATTCAACCTATTCCCCGCTCATGAAAGCTTTTTATGATTGCTGTTTTAAACGCTCAGTGCCTGATGCTGTAGGTCATTTGCGGGGGAAAAAATGCTCTGGCGCACAGGAAGTGATGCGTTTTATGTTTCCAGCAGCAGCTAGTTTTATTTGGAATAAACAGAAGAATAAAAGAAATAGTGCCGGACACAATTTGATTGAGGGGAGATCTTTAGGAAGTGACAACAGAGCACTGAACACTAAAGATGTCTGGAAGATCTAAAATAACACTAAAGAAAAGTTCTATATATCATATTTCAAACACAAACCACTGCCACTCCTGGGCCTGCTCTCGGAGATATGCTGTCAAAATAAAAGCACAACAAATAATGATTAAACTGCAGTAATTACACAATATTTCAGTCCAAGAAAAAACACTCTCCTAACACTCTTTTAAACAAAAATATATAAAAAAAACATTGTGCGTTGTATTACAATAAAATATTTTAATCCCATTTTTCAAGTTGCATCCATCACATTACATAACACTACATTCCTTTAGCTGATGCTTAATGATTTACTATAAGTAAACTATGAAACACAAGCATTTTATTGATGTTATTGTGTATAAAAATAAAAAATATTAAGATACAATTCAAAATATATTCACTATATTGAAAAAAGCCAGTGTGTGTATGTACATGTGCAATGTTTACTGTTTACTCTGTAGAGCTACTGCATGATGCTGCAGGAGGGATCGTTCCTCTTTATCCGCACTGAGAGTCTAAGGATGTTTTTTTGGGGTTATATACACCAAACAGGAGCAGGAGTCACATCATTTTCATTCAGTGAGCCCTCGTATAAGGGCATTCACCTTCGTTAGGTTATTTAGTCTTTACAATCTCAACTGCAAAGTGAGTCTCAAGGCCTGCAGAATAAACTTGCCGTCAAATTGACATATTCCCGACGCAGCCACAATAGAGTTTGATAGCAGAACATGTTTATACAATCCAACTCTGCGCCTGCATTTGCACAACAATACAAGGAGACATCCATTGTAGGAGAGGAAGAGATACCAATCTTCTCCACGGACAAACTCCTCAAAAGACTAAAATGCAATGCAGCCTCTCTTTATAATCCTCCAGCCTTCACACTTTAACATCTTGGCAAACTTTTTTGTAATTTGAACATAATGGCAGCACTTTCCTTGACGTAAGAACTTCCTATCACCTCACTTAAAACTTCCTCTCTTCAGACTGTTTTTGCTGAAAGGCATTCTGGGTTATTTTTTTCTGTAACTAAAACAGATGCAGGACAAGCAGAGGTTTTGTTTTTTGTTTTTTTTTTTTTAGTGAGGGGTGGGTGAGGAGAAGGGGAAGTAAATTACAGCACTTCATCACAAAATCGCTCCTGGAATGGGGTGGACGTAGGAGATTGATTCCAAAGAGCGCGAGCATAATGAGGGGGGGATTGATGGTTGAAAGCATCTGCTTAAGGGCACCGGTGCGTCCGACGTCCTCGTCCTGCAGGACACTGCATCATCGCACGACTCTCGGCTCCTGCGTCATGACATCACTCACCTAAATGAAGCCTGTCTGTGTTTCCTCAGCAGGGAGAGCAGTAATGAGACAGCACATTATTGCAATGTTCTGGTTGCAAGTGACATGGCCTGTAGAAGCCGCGAACAGATGTTTGACAATGACTAAATGAGGATGTGGAAACAGCAACTATTTTTTAGAGGAAACCAGGTTATTGAACACTATTTATTTTAAGATATTTCTCTTCCTGCAGTCTCTAAATAAATAAGTTATAGAGAAGATGAGGTCAGCCCACTCTCATCAGCACTTCGTAAATGTGTAATTATTACGTGAACGAGGGATTTGAATCCCCTACCATCCTTTAAATATATTGCATTTCCAGTTAGTGTTATCCTCATCTTGTTGGAGCAGGTGTCACATTATTTATGAGACTTATTTTTTTTAACATTATTATTTAAAAAAAAATGATTTGAGTGCAAACCCACTCACATCGATTTGTCAAACACACAACAAGCATATTAAGTACTGTAATATCGATCCCTCTTGTTTTGATCCCGTGCTCTGATTCATCTTATGCCTTTTGTTCTCTCTGAAGAAGCTTGAAGCTCATTGGGACTGTTGTTTCGGTTCGGTTTGTCTATCACTGTCTGATTAAAGCCCAGGTTATACAGGTTTTCTTAACATCAGTATAAAAGCCCAAAACAACACCAACCAACCGGCAACAAAGAAGCAGCAAAACAGCAGCCTAATTCTTCAATTATCACATATTTTGATCACTTCTCCTGAAAGAATATATTGTGAATGTCATCATAAAACTGATTACCAGAGCAATATATTTATTTAGGCTTTTATTAAGGTATCCACAGCTTTTAGCCTTTACGGAGAGTCAAGTTGTAGAAGAAAATCGAGCGAGAATGTTGCAGCTGTTTTATTTCTGTGGGTAGGCCAGTGTAAGTGTTGGAGGTCAGTGTAAATGTGAGTGCATTAGGTTCAGCAGAAACTTTAGGTTGACTCTGGGACCAAAAGTTGCTCTTGAAGTCAACAAAATCTGATTAAAAAAAGTGTGTCAGTGTTGATATAAAGGCACAACACGGCATTGAGAGGGTCGCTACTTCCCTCAGAGGGAAGACTCAGAGACTCTTAATCTTCTCAGGGAGTGAACTACACTGATATTACACCTTTTTATAATCTTGTCTGTCATTCAGCATTTTTCATTGATGACTGATGAACATTTCAGACACTCTATTACTCATGTTGTAAAAAGTAGTTACAGTTATTCAGTTCTTGATATTGTTTTTGCATTTCGACCACTAATTTATTTACTAATTTACATTATTGTGTTTTAATGTAAGATCCAGTCGAGCTCAGATTAAAATTTTCAAATATTTTAATATATTAAGCCTACAGTCTGCTGCTGAGTGAGACTGTAACTATTAACTTAGTCCTCATATTAGCAAACCTGACTACAAAATGATAGCAATATCCATTACCGAAAAATACTGAATAATCATCAGCACTGACAAACAGACACAGGTGTGTATGCTAAGCAGGTGCTGGGTGATGAACCAACTGATGTTCATGTTGAGGCCCAAAATAAAACACTCCAGAGCAACAAACACTACGTTTTCCAACCTCAGCTGTGCGTCACGTGCAAACAGAGAAACAAACACAAACCGAGCCGAGTCAGGAATATATTTAAAACATCTTTAATTGTGCGGTTATAAAATTCCAACTGGGTAGAAAAAAATATTTCTTTTTTTCCTCTTCAAACATCTAGCTCATTATAAAGAGAGTGAGTGTTGTACTATTTTGACATTTCGTAGTTTTAAAGTGATATTTCGTGTGCTTACTTTTGCTACACATACTCTTGTGTGTTCTGACCCAGTATCGGCTGTTCCAGGTTGTACTGATACTTCCTCCTCCCTCATCGTCCCGCTGCAAACTCTGCCGACACGCTCAAACTTAACTGGGGCGATGGAGTGTTCCAAGTTGGGTTGTTTTTTTTTTGTTTCCAGATTTGTGCTTATTGAGATGCTATTTCAGTGTTAGTTTTTTTCCTTTTTTTTCCTCCAAAGTGGAAATAATGGGTGCAGAAGACGGGAGAGAGAGAGAGAGAGAGAGAGAGAGAGAGAGAGAGAGAGAGAGAGAGAGAGAGAGAGAGAGAGAGAGAGAGAGAGAGAGAGCTGGAACAACAACAGTGCTGGCTCCTGAGAGGCAGCAAGTCTGAGGCTGATTCCTGCCTCGAGAGAAATATCACTTTAAAAACAGATACACAGTGTAAACAGCAGTAAAAAAAAAATCTGTAGCTCTGTAGACAAATAAAGACAAATATATTTCCATATGTTTACATTTTTAACAATAAATAAAAAAGATCCTTTATGATGCTGCTGGCCAGAAACAACAACAAAAATATGTTCCCCATTACAGATTTTACAGATCACTCTTTTTTTCTTCTTTTCATGGCCGTAACAAACCTTTAAATGGAGTCATTACGAAAATTGACCAACTAACAATCATAATGTAAATATAGTGTAACACTTTTCCATGTACAGTACTATAGAAAATTATACCTACAATTCACCCATTTCCTCAAGCTGTGACTCATCTTTCTTTCACAGCGCTGGTCAAACTTAAAGCACTCAGCTGTGAAAAGACACTTGAGGCCTCCTCTATAATTTCCACCTTTGTTTACACTACCAAAGGTGCAAAAATAGATGAATGAAATATGGTCATTATTTAATAGCGGTGTGTATACAAATCCATGATTCAGTAACAGACATGAACATATAAAAAGGTTATAACGGACATATTTACAGTCTTTGTCAATTAAAAGCATTTCAGTTGGACAAACAGGGTCCAGACCGTCTAACACTGATATTAACAATAAAAAATAAAGTTTCAGTCTACAGTTGTGGAAAGTGTTCAGCACAAAACGTGCGTTTGTTGAGACAGAACCTGACATTAAAGTCAGTTCAGGCAGGTTCAAGGTTTCACACTGAACTGTGTCAGTTTGTGAAACCATATTAACAGCGTCTGAGCAGGACCTAACTTCACATCTTGCCCCTGTGTTTCGTGTCTCGTTGCACTTCTGGCGTACACCGGCTCCCGCGCCGCCGCCCTGCAGTGTCTGTGTTTGGTGCTCTACACACCACTCGCTTGAGACAGAAAGCAAAAAAAGGGGAGAGCCGTGATTGGAGGACCTCAATCAGTAAAAGGGGGAGTTAAAAAACGATGTCATGAGCGTCGCCGTTAGGCCGCGGCCTGTTGGCAAGAGGCGGGAGAGGCTTCTTGAAAAATTCTGTGGAAGGGGAGGGAAAGAAAGGTTCGACTACGTCAGTAAACTACATCCATCGATTTCCTGAAATAAGAAACACTGTCAATTACAGCTCTATCTACGAGAATACAAGCAAAAGAAAGGAGGACGCCATTCGCCACGGCTGCACAGAGGTAGATGGGATATGTAGACTGGGGGAGGAATGTGAATGAACACACAGACAAGCCTTTGAGTTGATTAAGATGTTTGCCACCATGAAGGGTCGACACACATTCAAACATGCCTGGTGAGAGATGCAGGAGGAGAGAAAGACGGTGATGTGGGACACTTATTTACAGTCAACACACGTCTCAAGGCAGACAGTTCATTCAGTGTTTCCTCCGCAACACCACACTGACACATTTACTGCTGTGAAGCAAAGAAACGCACCAGAGGAAAGAACATAGTGCTGCTATTTACAAAGTTGTTTTTTCCTAATGATAAAGCTCCAAAAGAACAAACAAACACTCAAACACATGGTAGAGCTGCTACATTTAAATTACTGCCTAGAGGAAACACTGATCCAGAGCCATGACAGTTAGTCCACACATGCAAAGACACATGTTAGTGTGAAAGTGAGTGGCTGATTTGGCAATATCACAAAAGGAAGTAATGCATGAAATTAAAATAGTGGTTAGCACTGAGGGATGAAGAATAACCGGACTTCGCGGGCATCTTTACCGGAATGTCTCGAGTCTCCGAGTGGCTCTAGTTTTGGCAGCCTAGAAACTTTGGGTGTGGCCCATCCCACTAAAAAAAACAAAACACATAATAATAAAGAAACACTGGTCAGGACAAATGTGGAAAACGTGTGTTTCAAGAAAAGGAAGTCAGAAGTGATGCTGAGGCTCAAACCAGAAGCAGAATCTGGTTTGTCTGACTCCTTTACAGACTTGAGGATGCTGAGAAGGATTAGCAACAATGACACTGTAATGCATTTGGGCAAACTAGAGCTAGAGAGTGACACTGGCTAAATGCTTCATTTTATAAAGAAGTATCAAACTCAGGCTCAAGCAGTTAGACAACAAACACACGCGATCCATCTCTTCACAATAAAAGAAAACCACCTCCGATACAACTGAAAACGACCAGCGAACTGATAAATTAGCTGATATCTGAAAGCAGGAACGGGAACGTACACTTCAAACCACAGACTCATTGTGATGCTCAGACTCACCTGGAGGAGGTGGAGGGGTGGGGCTCTCCGCCGGCCCGTCCTCCGTCCTCAGCGGGTCCACCCTGTGCTTCCTCTTAAGTTGCAGCTTCCTCGTCTTCTTTTTTTCTTGCTCGCCTGTTGTGGCTGCAATAAGTACAGAGAGGTTTTAAAAAAGTAGGAGTTGGTTTATAAATGTAAAATAGACTCAAATTTCAAATGTTGTCCACGGCAATCTTTTTATCCCTTAATTTAATCATCTTAATTAATGGGTAATTATCATTATATCAGATATTCAGCACTCTGAGCTTAGTGAAGAAAGAGGATACATATCAGACACTTGCTTAATTTAACTGAATATCTCAAACAAATATTTGTTGAAGTCTCGCCTCTGTGTTTGTTTCATCATTTCAAAGTGAAAACAAATGTAATATCTTGCTTCCTTTATTCCGCAAGTTCTGACTTTTTAATGGTGCAAAGCCGAACCACAAGCGGCGAGGAAAGACTGCTTGCTGCCCTCACATCTTCACGCAACGTCTTATTAAATATAATGTGGCAGAAAGCACATTTTCCAACACTGCTGAACAAGTGATTGAAATCATGGGGTTTTATCCAATCAAGCAGGCACACAGAGGGCGGCTCTTCACGGCCATAAAAGTCTATACAGTTAGAAACTAAACTATAAAAGTTGAGGTTTGAGGTGATCTATAACTCACCTGATCTGCCATTTTCCGGCGTTTGTCTCGTGTCGTCTGGCTCTTCGTCGTTGTCATCCTCGTACTCCTCCTCCTCTCGACCGACGTCCGTCTTTGGGCTGTTGGTCCGGGCCTCCTCTCTTTGCCTCTTCCTCTCCTTTTCTTTATCCTCGTTCTGAAAGGAGCGCCAAAGCCGTAAAGTGATCTTTCTTGAGTTCTTTGGAACATACGACAAATTCAACTCGAAAATTTAAACACGCACCTCAGAGATCACGTTGCTGATTGGCTGGAAGGGGCTGGGCATGCTATCATCATCAAGCCCTTCTTCCTGGATCTGCCTGCCCTCGCGCTCTGCCTCTTCCCGCTCCTGCCGTTCTCTGCAGACAAAACAAGACTTTAACCTTTCCGCGTGGAAGAGTTTTCTCTTCGATAGGAAAATGATAAATGCAATATTTTTTATCTTTCTGACTTTTCTATATTCAACTAAATTTCTCAATGCTATTAGGACAGTGGGTAAACAGGTTAGATTGTTGCAACTTGAGCTAAAGAGTTAATTTCATTCCACCTTTGTTGATTAATGTTTATGGCCCATGTGTCATCCTCACGACCTCACCTCTCCTCTCGTATCCGCCGGACTCTCTCCGCCCGCTCCTTCTTGTCCTGCTCCTCCTGAGCGCGCTGCTCTGCTGTGTCCTTTTGAACGCGCTCAGTAATGGCCTCGTAGTCTTTGGCGATGTTGTTCAGGAGCCACTTGAGGCCCTTCTTGATGGACTTGTCGAACTTTTTGCCGTAGCCCAGAACGGCAGAGCATGGCTCCTGGGGTGGGAACGCGCATTGAGTGAGAAGATTGAAAGACACAACACTGAAGAATATAAACTTCATTTGCAAGATATTTTGGATGAAAGCAGAGAAGAAGGAGGAGAATGAGCTCAAAAGCACAAGTCTGGCTCTTTGTCTATATATGGTGAAACAACTGTTATATCAAATGCCCTTAATGTCATTCAACTGCTGTTCCACAACAGGTGCACAAACACTCACGATCTGACAGAGACACTTGTTCTCGTTGACAAGCTTCTCCAAAGACAGGTTCTCAATGATGTCTGCTTCAGCCAGCGCTCCCTCCTGGTCTTGTTTGTTGGCAAGCCTGAAAGCAGAGAGGGAAAAAAACTGACTCCTGTGAGTGGACTAGACTCACTGAATCTCTAAAAAGAAAGGTAAAGTAGTTGCAAGGACAGTTATCAAACTCAATCTTTGCATAGTGGCTGGGAATTGTATGGAAATCTTATGGAAATGTGTCTCCGCACTGATTGTGGATTGTTGATTAAAATACTCTGCACACGAGGAAAAATACATTAAACTTTCAACCTGTGCCTCAACCTGTGCTTTGCGTCGTGATTACTGATTAAGCAGATGCCTGCAGGAATCAACCAGCAGGGCACGTATTCATCAACAAATTGGACCATGGACTCACACTTTTACGCCAGGCAATTTTTCTATTATGTCCTCCTCTTTTACACCCCTCTGCTATCACTAGTCAGTCTGTTTTTCGAGTGGTCCATAACCACATCCTGAGTATAAAACTTTGTTCGATACAGTTTCCTTGGATGATAGAGCACTCACACTAGCACAGGTTTCCCCGCGATGCGCGGGTGCTGGAGGACCTCTGCCATGGTCTCCCGCGTCTCCTGAATCCTCTGGACGTCGCTGGAGTCCACCACAAACACCACGCCGTGTGACTCGGAGTAGTAGTTCTTCCAGATGCCGCGGATTCTCTTCCCCCCACCCAGGTCAAAGATGGTCACCTCAAACTTGCCCTGCTTCAGGTCAACTTTGGAAAAACCCACTGTGGGGGCCACATCCTGCGGATTCTCTGAAAAAAATCAGCAAACAGAACTCATGTTTTTTTTTAAATGTACCAGTGATAAAATATAAAAGCAACAAGGCAAAACTATCAAGCAGTTTGAGGATTTGAGAGTAAACGAGACGGAGTACCCTGTCTACACATTTTCTATAATTTAAAATGACTGTTTTAAAAAAAGAAACATGTACATAAAATATATATTATTAACGCTTATAACCAACAGTCCTAACCTCCTTGGATCCCTCGTACTGTGGCTGTCTTCCCCGCATTATCCAGTCCCACCATAACCAGGGTCACTTTCCTGTTGGGTAAAAAGGGGAAACAATGAACACACATGAACACACGGACATCACTATCAGTCAGCTCCAGAGGAAGAACCATCTGATGCCACCTCTGGTGCCCTGCACACCAAACATGCAGCATCCGAGCGACATTAGCTGGCATTAGCTCTCATGACGCATGTGGAGGCACAGATGAAGCAATTCATAATCTGACCAATAATCTGAATAATCTGACCAACGCAATCAGAGATCTGCACAGTGAGTGAGTCAGCAACAGTTACGTGCGTCAGCTCTCACAAATAAAACAAGACAAAGAGACTGTGCTTTTGCTTGAGGCAACATTAGTACGGATTGTTATTCCCATAATATTTGAGAGAGTTTACTTTTCCGTTCCCCAAGAAACCTTTCACATTTAAACTACTTATAAAAATGCATACTGGTATTCGTAATAGTCAACATCATTGTGCAAAAAGCGTGATGTATCCCTGAAAGCAACACAGAAACAAAACAACTCAGTCATCTCTGCAACCTGGGCAGTAGTCCAGATTTCTTACCAATGCAAAGTTTCCATCTCAGTGGGGATTTTAACAAACTGTTCTGAAAGCAAGGCAAATTTTGCACCATCATTTGCTTCACTTTTGCCTTAACAGGTGGAATAATCATACATCCTACATTTAGCCCCGACTAACCAGTCCAAAAAAGAAAAGTAAAGTTTAGAAAATAATTGTTCTGATAATAATATTGGAGAAACTGGAGCCACTTTTTGAAGGCCCCCTTCAAAAAGAATGAAATAGCTAGAAATGTAGCACCTTGAAAAACACTTTTCACAACAGCAATCTTACAAATCTTTATGTTTACATTGTGGCTGCTGGCATTGACTAATGTCTGGAAGGAAAGGGACAAAAATACAAAGAATAAAAGAAAGGAAAGAACTAAATCCACTGAGTAAACACTGAGAAGAGCTAAACCGTGCACAGAAACACAACCTGTCTCCGTCTCCTGGATGCATACTTAACTTTGAAACTTGCGCCGAAAAGACATCAAACGCACAATCCATCTAACCGTCCTCTGGAGCCAGCTGGCCTTCATCAGGGCGGCCTCTCGATGTAACCCTCCAAAAAGGCAAGACACCGTCCGCCCTATGTCCGCTAACTCATAACCCTCTCTGTCCTCGACTGCTACAAAACCCCAACGACAACAGGCCAAAGGGAAAAGACCCGCTGAACAGACCTGGCTGTCGGATTAGGCGAGGATCAGTCCAAAGGATCAGATGCCTCACAGGTACCACGTGGGTTGAACACTTGCAATTACAATTTGCCGGTCCTGCTGCCTCACACCAGGAGTGTTTTTACATGCTCTGTATGTTGCAAAGTACTGAGAATAACAACTGCAGGCTTAAGGCATGTTCATAAAAAAAGAAAGGTACAGAGCAGGAACACTATCATTTCTAATCAAAGATGAACGGCTGAAATAAAGTACCAAATAAATTCCAGATTAATCTGATTAATTGAGTAACTGTTTAGTCCATAAAATGTCAGACAAAGCTTTTAAACAATAAGGCAATTCAATGTTTACGTAAGACATATGATAGAGGAAGGTGTTCATCACAATTTCCCAAAACCCAAACAGGTGTTTTCCAATGATAGAAGATTAAACTCAATGAGTAATGGTGACCCAATCGTTTCAGCTCTAAAAATACTTGGAATAAGCCCCTGTTCTCTACATCAATCACTTCAGATTATAACAGCAAAGGGATTTTATGATCAGGAGACAACATGACTTATAATAAACGGTTTTTATGTTGTGTAACAAAGTGGATTATAATACATTTCCAGACTCTCAAAGCCTTTATCATCACATGTAAATTGTTAAACGCAACTGTGAAGAATAAAAAAGTGTACAAAACTCCCTTCACCCGACATCCACCAACGTGTGCTGTCACTTTGTTTATTTTACCAGCTGTCTATAATAACCAGCTGTAGGTTTTCTGTTTTATTTATTATGTATAATTAACCTACAAAGCCTCACATAAACCATAAAGTTATCATAACAACAACAAGCTGTATTCAAATTCAACGATCTTAACAACCATGACAACATAAAACCAAGCATTTTCCAAACTTCAGGGACTCTGAACGACTCCTAACTGGATCAACATCCCTCCTCCAAACCACTGAAAGACACTGATTTGAGTCTTTTGAGATGAGGACAGGAGAAACCACTCACCTTGCAGGCTCTCGCCAGCGTTTCAGCCAGTTGCAGCAATTCGCCATCAGGCTAAACATCGCAGTCCGAGTCCGGATGACAGCAATCAAGTGGTCATCTAGCAGGCACCGTCACACCTGTACGTGTATAACCCTGTAGGCAGCAGCTGACCCCACTCTTCAGCGTTACATTAGCCGCACGGCGAGCTCAGTCATGATACCTAAAAGGTTGGTTGAAGCTAACGTGGCTAGCGCTGACGGTAAACGTGTTGGCCACACTCGTTTAGTTTGTTTGCGTGAGCCTGTAACCACACGAATAAAAGCTGGGCACGCCCGTACACTAAAACGAGTCTTCACGTACACACGAATGCGGCTACGGCACTTTACAGTGAGGTATTTTCACGGACGAAGCGTCGGCTACTTAGCGTTAGCTGCTGGTGTAGCGGCCAGCTTTGTTTACGCCGTCTTCTCCGCTGCTAGGCTGCGGACGCGCTTACGTCATCGTCCGCGTTCGACCAATCAGCGTCGTTCCAGTAGACTACAGGTGTAATAATAACAGCTGGAGTAACTCGAACAAAACTGGGGTTTATATATGTGTGTGTTTGACTCTCTTCTGTGCGGTCTTCTTATCTTTTCTTATCTTTGTTTATTTATAGTTTTAAAAGTGCTTTATTCTTGTGTGATTTGTGTATTTTAAGCACCAAGATAAATTCCTTGTATGTGTAAAAACCTACCTGGCAATAAATCTGAGTCTGGTTCTGATCTGACTCTTACTCCCACCACCCACTCTGAATATATTTTTCGTTACATGGACGGATTTTGTATCTTTGCACAGTGTAAATATCATTATATGTCACACTGCTAACTCGCAGAAGCAGTATCCGATGTCCTCTTTATTTGTATTTTTCTATGTTTGCCAACTTACCAAGGCAATAAACCTGATTCTGATGTATATATGTAAATACATAGCTGTGTATACTGGTTTATTTTCTGTTATTCTGTTAATTTAATTGTATTATTTTCTAGTGTATCGCATGAAGTTACTGCAGACTTTCATTTTGTCATACAACCTTGTGCTGTATAATGATTCCTTGAAATCCTTACAATCCTTTAACGCCCTTATTGTCTGCAACATATTTATAATTGTATGCAACAGTTTACATTTGCATCCCCTCTTGTGCTCATATATCTCTTTTTAAACTTTTTCTTACATCCAGTTAAAACATGGGCTGAAACAAACACATTATACATAAATATATCTTTAAAAGTATGCAAAACAAAGCTAAAATCCACCGTGCAAGCATATATATAAACCGTGTACCTCAATGTAACTGGGTGTGAGAGAAAGAGATGATTGGTGCTTCTTATATTCTAAATCAACATTTCAGTCGTATTAGGAGAAAGAAAGAGTTGGTGTACATACTGATCTTCAACAGATAGCCAATCTACCATCGTCACATCATCAATTTCCTAGACAAGATGACAAAAAGAAAAATTGTGGACTATGGAAAGTTTTAAATTGCAGATGTATATCTCTGTAAGGGAGAGTAATTAATGAGTATACTAAACTTTCATAATGTGCCATTTTGGTCCCTTCATTTTTCATTTCTAACTATCTTCCATCACTGGCTTTAAAATCATTTTTAAATTTAAAGTCATTTGTTTCATACCACTAAAACCAGGCACAGACAACCACTTAAGTTGTTTTTTTTAAAGACAAAATCAGTGAATTAAAAGCATGTTAGACATTCGTAGAGTCTGCAGGCTGTTTTTGTTTTCCATTAGAAAATGTCAAGTGTCTGTTAAGGGAAAGACGGATGCACTTTAATTCCTGTGCAGAGTTATTGCCCCAGTTCATCTCTGCAAGCACTCACAGGTGAGTCGGCAGTGGGAGGAGTGAGGCGGGATGAAAGATGATTGTCTTGAACAGAGTCTGTCAGAGGAAACATTAACTCCTCTTGAGACGACTTCAAACTTAATGTTTATGAGTTCTATCTGCTGCTCATGTAATGCCACAGTAATAATCTTTATTTGTTTACTGGGATCCGGTGTGGTAGGTGAAATTAGCTGTGTGGACATTAATGAGGCCGTTGTCCTTTTGGCTCCAATTTGCCCACGTATTAAAGAGGTGCTGAACCCATGAATGAAGTTTAAAGCTTTCAGTGTAATTCTTTTTAATGTTTTCCTCTGGTATGCCATTATTACTGTTGCATGGCCTCGTTATACTTCTGTTATGTTAAGTGGGTTTTAATGGAACCAGGGGTGCATATCTCCCTATTATTATGGATGATTAATTATTGAATATTGGTTTGTTTTCTTCCCTTTAGTTTACAGCCCTCTCTACATAGAACATGCCTAACTAATTAGCAGCAGAAGTAACTCTAGTTGTTGTGTAAATGACCTATTTGGAAATATACAGGTGATTATGTAGTTCCTTTTTTGAATTATTAATATATTTAGTTGTTTTCTTGGCCTGGTGAACACTCACAACTCTTAATTTATAACCATGCGCTGTACAATATTTTAATTCCAACTCCAGAAGTTGTTTTTTATTTTGTTTTTTTGACTGAGTATCTTAACAATTAATTGGTTCACTTTCAATGTCGTCCTCCCTCAATTGCTTTTCTTTAGTGCCATCTCTTGGATATTTATTTAATGTCTAACATCAGATAAAACTTGTTATTTCTGTATTATTATTATTATTATGAATAACTATATAATTAAAAATAATTGTTACTAATAATAATAATAAATATAATATTACTATTAACAGGAACAGGAAGAAGAGGGATGTATTGTGTATAATGTAATAATAATATATGTATTATAAAAATAGACCTATAGCTCCTTCAATACAAAAATGCAGCTCAAAATTTAATTATTAGTTGTAATATTAAAATACAGTCAAAAATATAGAAAAATAATATAACAATACTGTACCATTAGTGTATAGATAATTAAAAACTAAATAATTAAATACATAATAACACACAAAATACCCCATACAGGTAAAAACATGACGGTAAGCAATATAGCATCAAAATAAGTAAGTTAAAAAAATATTAAAATTATAAAATAAATATTACAATAAGTATAAGCACTTGAAAAAACTAAAACTGTACTTAAGTAATAAATAAACTGTTTTATTCTTCGTCTCTTTGGCGCCATCTTTCGTTCCTCCAGCGATTTAGCTGAGTCTTTACTGCGCATGTGCGGTTCATGTCGCCGGCTTCTGCTTCCTGGCTCTGCAGCAGGCAGCGTCGTCCCACCACTCTTCCTCATTTTAATGAAACTACGAGCCATCCTCTGCATCCCGCGCCTGGTAGGACTACTTTAAGCGTTATTTTAAGCGCAAGGTTATTAGTTATATTTACTTAGGTGGTAAAACGGTTGACGGAGCCGCTTTAAATGTGATTTTCTCGTCTGTCGGTCGAGTGAAGACGGTCTGTTGCAGAGTTAATGCTTATTGCAGGGTTATTGTGATGATTGCATTCGTCTGTCTAAAGTAACTAAGTACATTTACTCATGTACTGCTGTATAGGGAAAGTATTGTACTTTTTTTTTTTACTCTTCTACATGTATTTAGTTACTTTGCAGATTCAGATTAATCATAAAAAATGTAGATCATAGATTAAAAAATCTGGATCAGCTACATTTAAAGTGATGCAACCATTAATGTATTAATAATTAGAGTCCAAAAAGCATGAATGTTTGTAATAAAATGGGCCATTCTGCATAATAAGTGCTAATAATAAGTATATTTTGATGCTACTGCTGCTAATAATGAATGCAGGACTGCAGTATTGTTACATCTTCCACCACTGGTGTTTGCTGCGTCTCTTATCCTCCACAAACCTTTCCCAGCTTTAATGATCTTAAGACAACAGTGTCTGTCAGACATTATCACTGACAGTGAATTAATTATTGACCTCATGTACTTTAGCAATCACAAAGTCCAAAGAGCTTCAGTCAGAGTGGGACTTAAGGTCACACACACACTCCTGCATCTTAATAAAGGCATCCAACAATGTGTGCATTACATGTTGTAACACTGTTGCTATTTACATGGCACAAGTTGCTGATTAATTACCTGTTAATGGACTAACCTTTGCAGCTCTACGTTCAGCAAATACAAATCCCACCAGTTTAGTTACTGCAGATGTCCTGCCAAAGTCTCCAGAATTTTCCAGAAATGTTCCCTAAAAAGAAACAGAGTGATAAATCAAGATAGACACTAAGAGCCAAATAGGTGGAAATCTGCTCAGCCAGCTGTTTGAATGTCTTCTCTTCCAGGTGTGTCCGCCCTCCTGCATCCACATGACTCGCGTCTTCGTCTATGGCACCCTCAAGAAGGGGCAGCCCAACTACTACCGCATGTTTGACAGTGCCAACGGTAAGGCGGAGTTCCTCGCCTCAGCCTGCACCACCCAGAAATACCCACTAGTGATCGCCAGCAAGCACAACATCCCTTTCCTCCTCAACATCCCCGGCCAGGGTCACCGAGTCCAGGGAGAGATCTACAAAGTGGACGACCAGATGCTGAAATTCCTGGACGCCTTTGAGGGAGTTCCCACCATGTACCAGCGGACTCTGGTCAAACTGGAGGTGAAGGAGTGGGTGGGGGAGGCAGAGGCAGAGGAGAGGCCTTCAGCAGGAAGCATCACGGAGGCGTTTGTGTACAGCACGACGGTGTACCAGCCGAACTGGCCCTCGCTGCCCAACTACGAGAGCTATGACTCGTATGGAGATCACGGGCTCGAGTATGTGACCAGAGAAGCACGAGACTGATGACGAGGAGATCCTAATTAGAGAGCAAATATGATCCAAGTCTTCTACCTCTGCAAATCAGCCTCCATATCACTTGACTGCTCTCTGATTTTGAGGTTAAACTGTTGATTTAGTTCTTTGCATCATTCGCATAGGAGGCTTGTGTTGTGGTCCAGGTACTTCCTCTACGTACCCTATCTTCAAAAACAACCCTCCTTCATGCATTTTAGCTGATGAGTTACAGCAAGTAGAGCCAGTTCTGTGTGATCAGTGGAGCAGAAACACAGCCTAAATGGACATAACCTATAACGGATGGTCTCTTCGCCACATGGCTTTTCAGTAGCTAGCAGTACCTTAGTAATAATCCCTGTTATGTTTTCTTATCGCAGTCAAACAGACAAATTGAAATCTTCTGAACAAATGTGAAGTAGTGTGAAACACATTCAAGACTCAGAAATAAAAAGGTGTGTAAACCAGACTTGTGAAACTGCATTCTCAGGTTTCTGACAGCAAAGTTTACACTCGATTGCAATAACTAGAGCTGTAATTTAAGCTCTTGCTGTGCACTTGGTTCTCTGGTACTGTGAGGAGTTTTGCTGGTTCGCCAGTAGAGTCAAAAACTGTAAATGTGTAGTCAGTTGACCTTCTTATATGATCATCATCTTCCTCTGTGTCGTGTTTTCCTAATCCCAGATGTGTCCCTATGAATACCAGATAAAAGCAGAATACAAAAATACATTGTTTCTGAGTCGTCTCTTCTTTTTTTTTTTTTTTTCATATGAACACATTCTTTTCTCATCTTTATTTAGAATAGTAAAATCCAGAGAACTGGAGGAGTACAGAAGAGAGGATATTTGGCAAACAAACCAGTGAAATCTCTGTCGGCGTTGGAAGCAGTCTGGAAGTCATTTGTCCTTTTTTGAACAAAAGCAAAAAAACGTACAGAAAAACATGAAAAAAAAGAAAGAACATTTCACAGTGTATCAAAGTACTGTACAAAAAAAGTTACAAAAAAGGAAAAGATGAATGTTTTCTAACTGTGTCCAGACTCACATTTAAATTCATCTATTTATATAAAGATTGTCAGACAAAATACTCTCATCACCATGAGCGTGTTCACATGCACACAGGTTTCCATATGGAGTTAAAAATTCCAGGTTTAGCTCTTTATCAAGTATTTTATATACATTTTTTTTAATTCTCATCACAAATGTGTCGGAATACAGGAATATTTAACAAGGACACGTATAAAAAAGTAATACAATATGGTGCACCACCTCGTGGTTCAGTGTCCCAAATACTTCTGGTGAATCCCATGTATTTCATTCAGGTTCATCGTAACAATAAAATCCTCCGTACTGTAAACAGGATACATCGTTGGGGGTGAATATTAAATCTATATGTGTGCATGTGAACAACACTCAAAGTCAACAATAAAGGAAAAGATCGCCGGCAAAGACTTTGTGCGACCAGTTTGGCATTTAAAAAGAATTAAATTATGAATTACATCGTGGGCGACCGCCATGTTTGCCTCTAATCGGACACTAGTGGTGCAGAAAGTGTGTAACGAGGGTGGAGGTGGAGGTGAAGTGGGAGGACCTCTGAGCGACGGGCGGTGTGTGTGTGTGTGTGTGTGTGTGTGTGTGTGTGTGTGTGTGTGTGTGTGTGAATCAACTATTCAGAGGTATTATTTAGTGTGGATTCGAGCGCCTGCTGTGTGGTTCTATAATAAGAGTCTTTTCTGGTGTTTGTGCAGCCTGAAGTTCAGTTCTTCAACCAGGCCAGAGTTTATTGGACAGGTTGGGGGGGGGAAGGTAGATTCATCAGTAAAGGTCTTTCCTGGTGCTTGGCAGCGAGCGGCTGGCAGAGCAGGTGGCGCTGCGGATCACCTCCATCCACCTGGAGAGGAGGAAGATTGAACAGTTTTACAGCCATTAGTCCTGAACTTTATTCTTGTAAGAGTTACGAATATGTTTGTTTGGTATTATTACGTTATATTTGTTTAGTTTATGTATATTTTGAATAGTATATTTGGAGCACACTGAGGTTATGGTCACAAGTAAGTTGGATTTAATTTAAAAGGAACACAAGTCAAAACTAAGACAATCTGCAGTTCATCTGTGGATAAGAGACAAACATTAATCAGCTATTTAAAATAGAAAATGTTCTCGCTCCTATGCTGCTGATATGATGTGAAAATAAAGGAAAGGTTCTTACATTTGTTCCTCTTCATTGGAGAATGAAGGAATGAATGACACTATGCATAAAACCTGCTGAATATAGACGTAAACTACTAACTAGAGGAGTAATCAGAATAAATACTATAATCCATCTTGGCTATCTTACCATCTCTGTTACTGAGTTAATTATAACCTTTTGTTGACGTGAAAGTGGAGAGAGATACCCATGAATGTCTAAATACATTTCAACCCCTACCCATCACCCAAAGTACCGTACCTCTCAAAGGTGTACTCGCTTTCTGATCTGAAGTAGTAGACGTGGGATTTAAAGTGGAGTTTGAACACGTAGTCTTTGTGGATGTTCTCCGACTCAGACGGGACGGTGACAGAGTAGCCCAGCAGAGGGAGGCTGGCCAGAGGGTAGTCGTCCTGTGAGCAGATGGGCCGGAAAGAAAGGAGATCCTTAATGCATCATCAGTACTTTACTGTAACTGTCTTGTCTGCCTACTTTGCTGCGATTAACACATCTAAACTAAAAAAGTAAAGCGAAATAAATAGATTCTCAAACTCATCAGACCACTTTATATATATATATATATATATATATATATATATATATACATATACACATATACACACACACATATATATGTATATATACACATATATCTCACCTGGTGCGACTTGTAGAAGAAGAGGCTGAAGTTGGTGAAGACCACCCAGAGTTTCTGCCAGCCGTTACTGTTCTTAAACTTCCTCAGCAGATTACCTGACAGCTGGTTCTGGAAACACAAAAGACACGCAAGGATAAATAAAGTGGAACAAAAGTCACTGACTTCATTATAGTGTTAGAAATGGGGGAAAAACAGGAAAGAAAAATCTGTTAGCTCTAATTACACTCGTGCAAAACCAGGACATAATTACAATAAACAGACCAAAAATATTCCAGGATACATACTTCTCTTTCCCATTTGTTTGGCATGAAGTTAAGGAACATTAAACACTAAAAGTAAAATGTAGTTTTCTCTTTTAATCTAGGTCTCAGATGTTTCATCATGTAGTTTCCCTACATGGATCAACAAATGTTTGCTTTTGCAGTACCTCTCTACTTCCAGCAGGTGTCACTAAAGGACAGGCTGTGTGCTCTGTACCAGCAAACCACACAGAGAGAGACACAGGCCCCTGAAGTCTGCTGAGGGGCCTCGTCAACTCACTGGCTGGACTATTGGCCTCTAATGTCAGCGTGGACGGACGGACGGACGGACAGAGGTGGAAATGGACAAAACAGACAGATGGAAGATGGAGGAAAGAGACAAAGGGTGGAAAGATGGAGGTGCAGAAGAGAGAAAAGGACAAAAACACAGACATGAGTAGAAAAGTAAGACAAAGGACATTGGATCAATGGTCCTTTGCTGGTAGAGAAGAGGATCAAGAGAGACAACATGTAGAGATAAACACACTGGACACAAACACACAAGACTCCACAGCTTGAGAGGAAAATCAGATGTGTGATGTGTGGAGAAAAAAACAGCTGAAGAGAGAAGACGATTAAAAAGAGACACAGTCTGGTACCTCCACAGCAACACTAAAGTCCACCATGGACACGCTGGTGTTGCGATGCCAGCAGACGTGCACAGTAGTGTTACCACGGTGACCCTGGCGCTCCAGAGACGAGCGCGAGCCGCAGAGCTCCTCCTCCGACTCCAGCTCAGCTCCACCGTCCTCCGACAGCTCTGGGGAACGACGGGCAGTTCAAAGATGCTGGTTAGCAGAAAGAACGGTGCTCTGACCGGCTAGAATTTAAACAATGTACACAAGAACTATCCACCATTTAATGAACTGATGTGTGCAGCCAGATGAGATTATTTAATTGATCTGGATGAAATCATGAAAACATAACAGCAGAATCGCACAGAGAATAGATAAATACAAACAAACAAACAGTGGAGTGTACTGTCTTCATGGTGACTATTAAAAGGTTAAAGAAAAGAGAGGTTTTAAAGATATGACATGAAGATACAGCACATTATTTTACACATTCGTGTTAGGTTTCACTAATGTTGCCTCGTCTACGGAGCCCTTGTAGGTAGATGATGTAGGTAAAAGGTTGTCAAACAAGTCAAGAATACACAGAGGAATAAACAAAAGTGCAAATCCCTCACTTCACTTTCCCCTTTCAAGCGTGAAGGAGAAACTACGGTGGCCGCAAAACGCGCAAACAAAACAGAAATCGTAGTAGAAAGATGTTCTTTCGGCTTTATTTTATTCTAAGGTACCAAAAACACAACCATTTATATATTTAGGTGATTAAACACTAATGGAAACATACATATGAATACTGAATTTGTGCCAATAGATCCTCCTCAGTGTTACACACTGGACTAACCAACAGTACTATAATGAGTTGTATTTTTGACATGTCTGATATCCTTTTACTGCCCGTTGTTGGTTTTGGGGCTCCAATGATCTTATAACAACAAACCAAGTAAGCTTTAAGGAATATTTGAACTCTGATATCAGCTGTTGAAGGATCAGAAATGATTAGAAATATCAACTTTGTGTGTCCTGTGTTTATTGAGCTTGCAGAACTTTTGGGGGTACAAAAAGGTTCAAATATAACAGTGTTTTCACAGTATCTCATGAAGGAAGTTGCTGATGTTCACTACAGTACATCAACCCTGAGAAACAACATCCTGAACATTGATACGCTGCAAAACTGGCTAATGTGCTGTATTTTAACTGGCTGCAGCTGGAAGTGGAAAATGCTGCTGTAAGTTGACTGGATCCAGAGCAGCGCACTATGCTTGTTTTGGGCCTCCTACTTCGGCTTTTTTGTGTGGCTGACCCTTTTTTTTTTTTTTAATAAAGACTTGGATATAGTTCTGTAACAACAGTCTGGCTTTAATAGACTGACTCTGGTTATTATTGAGCACAGCTAGTCTCATCATTTAGCACTACAAACACACTCACTTTTGCTATTTTGGGTTTTAACATGGCTGCATGATACGGGACAAAGTGCTGAGCCACATCAGTGATCAAAGCAATTTCAATTCAGTCTGGATGAAAGAAAGGAGGAAAAACTACCCTTTTGTTATTACTTGTAAGCCAATACTCTTAAACAGTTTGAGTTATTAAGTGTACATAGCAGGTGATTTAGCTGAGGCACAATGGAGACGTCAAACCAAAGGTCACCAGGTGGGGGCCGCATTGAACATCGTGACAGGCGTTTAAGATAAAGAATGAGGAAAAAGAAGGAGAGAAAAGGGGGCGACAGCTGGTGCCTGGACCTACAAATATCAGGTGACATTAAAAATATGATGAAAGACCACCTGGAACAATTCAGTGGGATTATTCATGAGGTGCTGAAAGCTGCCATCTGTCGTTTGAGAGGAAAAGAAAGGGAGGGAAGGATTGAAATGCAAGTGCGTAGTTATGTGAACTATAGGTAAAGAGATGATCCACTCCCCTTTAAAGAAAGACCTTATTGATGCCAATAAACAGTCAGTACAGCTAACATGTCCCAGCTGGAGTCCCTGTCTCACATTAAGCTCAGCTGGGAGAAAAAGCTGCAGTCGTGGATGACAAATCCCATGTGGAAACACTTCCAGAAATAACTCTCCTGTGGGACCTTTTATGACTGAACTTTCTGGCTCTCACAGGATCTCAGACAGTCCTGGAAGACTTTGAGGATTAAGTGGACAGGAAGCCATTAGCAGGTTTGAGTAGCAGTCATTTGGGAATGATGGTTCAAATCCTCTAAATCAATAAAAAAAACAAAAAGAACCAAACAGACCTATATTAGTGAGGAAAATGACTGGAAAGCCACACTTTACTAACTCTAATGCCTTTATTTCGACTTATAAATATCCACGTTTTGACAAATTATAGTTACTGACACTGACTGACTAACTAGGATAGCCAATCAAAAAATACTAATTTATATATACACCAATAAAGCTTCAATTCAATTAAGAAGCAGCTCTTAAAAACTAGTACACCACCACCAACTATGCTAAAACATATAATTGAATTGACAGCTCTGTCATATTCATACAACATTTCTAAGTAGTGTGACAGAGGTGTTAATTCTCTCCGACTCATAGAGGGGGCGAGGTGCGATAATCACTTAAACATGAGGATAAAGGGGCATTTTCAGACACTCTGGAAGGCATCCATGGTGTTGAGAAGTAACAGAAATATCTGTGTGAAGACAGCCAGAGAGAGAAGTAAACACCCTGCCTATTTTCTCACCTCCACTGATCACTAAGGAAAGTGGACGGGACAGTTTGACGGTTTTGGAAATCTACAGGCATAATAGGACGTCGCCCTGACAACAGTTGGAAAGGTGTGAGGGTTTAATGTCTAATAAATTGAGCAGTTTTCCATGTTCTCTTAACAAATCCTGGAACAATCTCAGTGGACAAATGATATAATAGATTTTTTTTCATTTTCTAATTGTTTGTCTTACCACACACACACACACACACAGTTACTGTACATACAGTTAGAGGGCAGACTTACTGTTGTCAGAGAGGCTGGTGGACAGCAGGTCAGTGCTTGGGCTGCTGCTCTGCTCCGCCAGGTCAATGGCCATCCGGATGTCCTCAACCCACCGCTCCATCTCTGACGCACAGCTGGACGCAGACAGAGGAGAGGACAAGAGAGGTCTGCATTACACAATACAATCTCTATTTTACAGCCACTGATAATAAAACCTTTGAATCAGTGAATGAAAATAGGTCAGACAATTTAATTAGAGGACAACCAAACTGTGGCAGAAGTCTTGAAGAAAAGACATCCATTATTATGAGGTTGACCTATATGAATTTTTAGCTTTCATTCTTCCTTCTTGTGATGTTTCCACTTGTTATCTTTTCTTTAATTTCTTAATTTCTTTCATTAACACTAGGTGTTTAGAATATAACGCCTTGTGTATACCTGGCTGCCACCACCACAGACTGCCGCTGTCCAAACAAGGTGAACGAATGAGGGACTCCCCACTCCTCCTCACTCTCTCTGATCTGCAAAAACACAAACGTGATTATCAAACTCAAATACACACTATGGTCAAAATTAAAACACTACAAAAAAGGGTATATGGTCACGTACCGTCATGCCATACAGGGGCAGCTGGCCGTGAACCTTAAACTGGTTGGAAGGGGTCATTCCTCGACTGGTGTACACCAAGCAATCACTGAACTGGAGAGGACAAAGAGAGAGGGGAAAACAGGGAGAACAAGTGGTTAGATTCGTTTAGCTATCACAGATATTAGCTTCACTTTGAAAAGCGGCTGAAATGTCGTACCAGGAAGAACATCCTCTGCTGAAGACCCTTCCCTGAGAGCTTGCTGAGGCAACCAAGCCTGATAAATTCCTGTAAGTTAAACACAAATATACTATGAAAATATGATAGCAACACAGAAAAAGCTACATAAAAGATACATAAATTAGCAGAGAGTAGCAGGAGAGTATCTAACCCTCCCGGGGAAGGCGAGGTTGTCGATGCCGGTCAGATCTTTCTTCAGCTCTAAAAGCTTCTGGAAGTTTTCCATCTTCATCATGGTGCCTTGAAGCTGCAGCACCATCTCGGAGATGTCTGCCAGGGCCGCTGAAAGGAAGATGAAAAGGTATTTTATGAAGAAAAAAAAAAAAAAAAAAAAAAAACAGAGACAACTATACGTATGAGGGGAGGAAAGGGTGGAGACAATGTACCCCTGCAGTCCCTGAAGTCGTCGTGTGTGGGCGGGTAGTGCTTGCAGAGCCTCTCCAGGATGAGTTTGTAGTGCAGCAGGCGGTGGAGAGGCCTGAGGAGGAAGATGTTGAAGGGCAGGTAGCAAACTCTCTGTTGCTCAAAGTCTCGACACAGAGCCTCCGCCTTCCGACTGGACCTGAGAAACAGTAATGCAAAGTGTTTCAAAATGCTCCTACAATGTTTGGTGTTAATGTAATACAGGTATTTCCTCTTTTCTATATAATATTTCCATATTTTCTTCTATTATTTAATTGCTGCCTTTGTCTTTATTCTCTCCCACTAACATAAAACCTGCTCCGAAAGCTAATGCCTCATGTTAGACTTTGCAGAAGCCTCCATTCACCCACCTGCAGGCCCGCTCCAGTTCAACCAGGCACTCTGAATGTTTCTGAAGATGAATGGTCAACTGCTGCAGATGCAAAAGAAAGAAACATGATTAAAATAAAGAACAACCCTTCTACCTCTCATGTAAGCTCTTATTTCTGCGCCTGTACTCCAAATCTTACACAGACAACAAAGAGAATAAGACAGAGCTGTAGTTACCCTCAGACCCTGAATGTTCTTCAGGAGAATGTCACCAATTCGTTGATAATCTCCTTTAATGTGGGCGTTAGAACGACCCTCCCTAAAAAGCAAAAGAAAGGGAGAAAGGAAATGAAGGACTTTGTTTCATGTGCAGTAACATTTATTCACCAGTAGATGTCAGGATGGAGCCAGGTTTCTCACACATGACTGGAAAATCTTCACTGGATTCCCACAATCCCATTCATCTTAACCAGCAAGTCATTGGGCCTTCTCCAAAAGCATTGTGTGTGTGTGTGTGTGTGTGTGTGTGTGTGTGTGTGTGTGTGTGTGTGTGTGTGTGTGTGTGTGTGTGTCCGTCCTCCGGTCTGTCATTACAGAAATAACAGAGACAACATTCCCATAGGAGGAAAAGAGGATGAGCCCATTAGTTCCCATGCAGAGTAGCATTAGACTTGTCATGTCATTATGTATTGTGGGTGAAGGCATCGTTTAGGTTTAGGTTTTAATTTAAATGACGTGCTGATGGTGTCATGTGACTTAAAAGTGATAAATAAATGTGCTTTAGTGAACACTTCTTCATTAATTATCCCATTTGTCACAGAATTCAAATGACCTTATTTCTCTTTCTACAGTGAAGTTTTCTTGACTGAACCCCCTGAAAACATGAGACAGATACTGATACAGAAACACTACAGTGGTTGTCTTTGATTTGCAAACACTAATCTGTTCTTAAAATGGATTTGTTTTGTTTACAGCCAGTAATCTTATTTAATTGCTTCGACTCAGCTCATGTAAAGCAGCATTTTAGTTTCTTCCTCAACATTTCAAAGACAACATTTAATCGCCTGTAAAGAATGCCATGGAACAAACTTTCCAGTTTTCTGAATGGGATCAGACAGTTACTGACCACTGTGCCAGCCGCTGCTCCACCTCTCTGAGGAATCCCTGGTGGAACTTGTAGACCGGATCGTAGCTGGCGGAGATCAGGTTCTTAACAAAGTCTGGGAAGGCCTCATCTTTCCCTGCAACACCCTGAAAGGACTACAATAGACAGACAGGACACATGTGGTCACGTATAAGAAACAGAAAACGTGTGTCGCTTGTAAAATTAAGATATTCTTTCTAAAGAAATCAGAATCAGGTTGAGATTATCTTCATCTACTCCAACCGATAGACCAAATTTGAGAGTTTTGGATGTTTTTAAAGCTGCATCTGAGAGCCACATTAAGGAATACAGTGGAGCACTGCAAGAGATATGTCATATCTTATATCTGGTGTGATGATAAATTGTATATTTGGGGTTTTTGGGATGTTGGTTGGACAAAAAAAGCAATCTGAAGGCAACACTCTGGCCTTTTTTCCCCACTATTTTCTGATATTCACATACCAAATGGTTTGAATTAAATTATTAAAACACTACACAACAATAATATGAATGTAATTTGAAATGACTGTAACACCAAATCCAAATTCCCCAAAACAGACTGAGACTGACAAAAAGGAGGAACCACGCACAACACTGGTGTTATCCCCCTGAAGAGGAGGTTGGTGGGTCAGAAAGAGGGATTTAACTTGAAAGCACAGTGACAGTTTCTTTGCACCAGGGATCAACTAGCAAACACACACACACACACACACACACACACACATATATACACACACACACCATGACCTCCTGGCCCCGAGCGAGTGCACTACCACCCTGACACAGAGACGTTAGATTCTCCTTCCAGAGTAAATCACACAGGATTATGACGGCTAGCAAAGACAGAGGGCCGTCCAGCTGTTTTGCAGAAGGACCCGGTGGGAGAGAGGAGGGGTGAAAGCGAGAGGGGGAGGGGAGGAGTGAGCGGTACCAGCCAAAGAAAATATTTAAGAGGTTTTTTTTTTTTTTTTTTTTTTTTTTTTTAAAAGTGCCAACTCACGCCTTCCTCCCACATCAAAGAGGGTGGAAACTACTGTTGAAAAGAAAAACAGCAGAGAGGCAGAAAAAGACACAAGAGAGGGGAAATATGATATTTGTCCTTCCACAGCGAGGTCAGAAGTCACAGTCAGCTTCATAATATTAAAAAGGTCTCCAGCAGGCAGGTGCATGCTGCTGTAGGGGGCTTGAACCTGCGTTTCCCCCATTGGTGGTCTCCACTGATTACCCTCCCACTGCAGATTTCCCCCTTATTTGTTAGCAACAGACAGTAAAGTTGAATCACATAGACGACAAAGTGTGACCCACATTAAGCTGCACTTTCATCCCAGGATTTCAGTGGTTTTACTAACAGTCTGTGTAGTCTTAAAGAGCAAACAAGACCAGGAGAATTATAACGTGTGCATTGCTTTCTTGTGAGACACGAAAGAGTGAATGTCATTAAAAAACACAAGTAACTTAAATATGCTCACTTGGAAGCTGTACTGTCATCTGTCCTGTGCAAAAGAAAAGCTCATAAAGCCTCAGATGTTGAACCTCAGTCTTCAGTCGTACGCCAAACTAAATACAAATAAAATCTCATTTTCAGGATGGGGAATAAAACAAGTCAAAAATACTGGAACAGAGAGCTGAATTTAAGCTCCTTAAATTCAGTATTCTGGCGTTCAAAAGACCAAACTGAGCTCACTTTCCCGATATTTAGGCCATAAAACACCAAGCTGATCCTGATTCCAGCTCTTGCACGACCAAATGTGAGTCAGTGTCCCAACATGTGAGCTTTTAAAAGGCTAACTTTAGTTCACTGTCCCAAATTTCTGACTTTAAAATAACCAGCACTGACTCACTGTTCCAGTATCAAGGCTTTAAAGGAACCAACTGTGGTTCACAGTCTCTCTGTGTGTAATGCAGGGCTGTGTACTTTAGGGAATGTGTTTACACTTGGCCCGACTACCTCCTGGTCTTAACACAGATGGCTTTTCAAAGATCTCTCTCTGTCTCAGCCAGTTGAGAATGGCCTTGCAGTTAGCATCCACACGGCAATGACAGACACACACTCATTCCAGTAGCTTCAACTCAAATAAATCTTAAGAATATATAGAAATGTGTGAATGTGTACCTCTGTGATGACCTGCAGGTCTTTGAGGTAGGTCCGCTCTGTGGTCAAAAGTTCCTTGGCTATGAAGTAGGCCTTGTCTGTGGGAAACTTCTGGACACAAACAGAAAGAAGATATCGATCCATCTGTATATACACATTCACATTGCTTCACAGAAAACAGCTTCGACAAAACAAACGAGACAATCAGCCTCTAGGGCACACTTTATTTTGAGAGACAGTGGGAAATCTGCTGGATTCATTCTTCTTAACTGCCCACCTTCCTCCTCGCCTCCTCTTCATCATCGTTGCGGACACACCCGGCGTCAGTGAGCAGCGGGCTGGTGAGAGGAGATAGGTGCCGTCCCTCAGGACTATGACCTGTACCCAGGATACCAGTGCTGCCCATCCCCTGTCCGTTTACCGAGCCGTTGCCATTAACGACCACATGGGGACTTCCCAACGGAGAGTCCTCTGAACCGGGACTTTCTGAGGGGAGGAGAGGAAAATTGGAAAAAAAGCGGAAGGGGAGGGAGACGGGGACAGGAATAGAACAAAGAGTGAGACAAGGGAGAAGATGGCAGGAGAGGATAAGGGATCAAGTTAAAATAGATTCCTTGTGTACAACAGAAAAAGACATTGAACTACTTTCATGATATTCACTGCCAACTTTGTTATCATTTAATTCTTAGAGTGACATTTAAATTCTTTCCTCAGACACTTCTCAGTGGAGGAAAAGGCTTCTAGATTCACCCTGCATTTAGGAGGCTCAAAATATGAACATATTCCCCGAATGATTCCTCTACATGCAACCCACCTGAGTGGTGACAAATTTCAAGGTTATACAACGCCACTCAATCAGTCTTAAACTACGGGTCAGGACCCAAAATGAGCAGCTGTCATGATCAGGCAGGTCGCCGCATGACAAAAATGCTGTAATCCTTCAACTGTGAAGGAGGCTACGTCTACTCTACGTCTCTATTTAGACCCTCATCTAAAATATGGTTAAAAAACATAGTAAAAAAGGAGGAAAAAATAACAATAAATGTTAGATGTTAGTAATTAGCTACGGATTATGAGTCTATTTGCAAGACTTAATAAAGGTCATATCTGTGCATTATAAGGGTAAGTGAACAGACAAATAATACAGTTGTGCATATTAAAAAGCTGTCAAGTTGCAATAAATTAGGTTATGAGCTAATAAATGATAATAAAAGTACAGCTATACTATGTAAGCCAGTAATATTTGTATTTAAAATGAACTGCAATTCACTTTTATTACCAGTTATTTCCTCGATTAACTCTTAAGTCTATAAAAAGTCAGAAAATTGACAGTCAGTTTCCCAGAATGTGACGATGAATACATTAACTTCTCCACTTCCCTTACAAAGCACTAATAGATATGATCTTCTACAGATTGGTGATAGTCTTACTAGTGGTGATGATGCCTAAAATCATCATTTTTTTAATAGGAGTCTGGTCTGATGGTAATTAAAATCTACTGCTTCCAACTTTTTGGGGAAAATATTATCATCCAGACAAAAGAATAAAAAGTGAAACCTACTTTTTCACTACAGCTAGAGTCACTAAGAGGTTTACTACATGGTACCAAGTTGTGACTGTATACTTGCCCAGGTGCAAAGTTTCCAAAGAGTCCATTGTTATACACCAAACTGGATCATGGGTAAAAACCATGGCAACCACTGAGTGCAGATCTGTGACGGGTGTTATAAAAAGAACTTACCACCATACAGAAAGAAACTAAAAACTACTACAATAAAAAAAACACAGGTGAAAAAACAAGCCAACAGAAGCTAGAAAACATGAAACACAGACAGAAAACTGGGTCGAACCATGTGTGCACGTGCACAACACCGAACAAAACGAACAACGGCTACTCTACGGTCTAACTACCACGACACAAGACACAATTCAGGCAGGTTGAGGGGGGACGTGGGTGGGTGCGTGAGGGGTGGGGGGCCGGGGTAATTGGACATCTACCTCTACAGAAAATTCTGGAGTCCCTTTTCTTCGAACAAACAAGGTCGTTTTTTATTGACACTAGTGCACAAAATCAGTTACAGTGTTAAAAAGAGAGATGAAGGGTAAAGAAAAAAAAAAAAGAGTAAAACCTCAAAGAAATCACAAGAAAAAAAAAAACCAGTAGGTGTTTTGTGATGAAAATAAAAAGGACAGGTGTGCAGGAATACAAAGTGTTACAAGAGTGACAAAGTAAATCAGTGAGTCAGTGCGTCTGTAGGCCATAAAGTCAGTGTGCGTTAAGGGAAAAATCTTCATTTCAATGGAATAAAAAGACTTTTTGGCCGTTCTCCAGCTAGATAGGCAGCAGTTTTGTGACGTATGCATGTTTATACATTGTGTATGTATGTATTTATTGTGATTTTATGCTTCAGAGATGTCACAAAGCCTGTCAGCATCCACTGTGTGCTCCAGTCTGGACACGCACCATGAAGTAAATACGGGACAAGCAAACTGCCACCGATCTTCAAAATCACAAAATTAGAAGAACAGCCAGAAAGTTGGTTTACTCCTTCAAAAGAAGTCAGTCAGTCAGTAAAAAGAGTGTTATGTAAACAGAAAGAGAAGCACAGATGTGATGCTATAAGCTTATACCATTCTGATAATCTAAATGACAGAAAATGGTTTGACATTTTGGGAAATACGCTTGCTTGGTTTCTTGCCGAGCGTTATATGAGAAGACTGATTTTATGCCTGTGCAGTGAATACAAAGCCGGTCAGCTTAGCTTAGCATGGCATAGAAAGTTAACAAAAAGGTAATAAAACCTCCATAAAACCACAACCTATAGTTTTTACACTTTAGTTTTTGTACAACTTAAACAAACAAGATACGACATGTTAATTAGAGAGCTTCTGAGGCACTAACAGACGGACTTTCGGACCTTCGGACAGAGGCGGGCTACCTGTTTCCCCCCGTTTCCAGTCTTTGTGCTAAGCTAAGCTAACAGGCTGCTGGCTGTAGACTCATATTAACTGCACAGACATAAGAGTGGTAACAATCTTCTCATCTAACTCTTGGTGAGAAATTGAATTAATTCGCAAAATGCTGAACTATCTGCTTTAATATCAGTAAAATATGCTAAAACCATCACAGTGCGTACACCGCAGAAGAAACTACAGGCATTTTACTCTTTTCATGTTAAAGTAAATCTAGCAAATTTGGCTCTGATTAACCCCATTAACATAGAAATTACAATATTAATGCAAAATCACAATATATCAGTCTGTTACTGTATGTACAGTACATTAATATTACAAAACGTCTCAGTGGAAGTGACTCGTTGCTATAGTGCTATTTGGTGACAGGCAGTGAAAAGGAAGACGAGGCGGACTCAGCTCCAGTATTCATGTGTGTGTGCGTGTGTGTGTGTCCATCTCCTGACAATACTCAGACTTTCACACCTTACAAAATAAAATGCCACATCTCTCAGATATCTTTTTTTTTTTTTTTTTTGCACTTACGTTTGCTTTAAGCTTAACTTCACCTGTTTCTGTCGACCTTCGCCCTCCCACCCTGCGTTAAAAGAGCACTGGAGTTGAGTCAGCCGTGTTTTGTCCTCGTGCACAGAGAGGAAACCGGGGGCAAAAACACAAATGGTTTTGAAATATTTGAGAAAGACCCGGTGCAGTTAATTAATCATGACGGTGTAGTAACAAAGAAAGGCCCACAAGAGTTTGAGTCTACACGTTTCTGGAGTTGTTGAGTTTGTGTTATACTGCACCAAATGCCTCTCAAACAGCTGAAACCATTTTGAACCCCCATGACAGAAACACAGTGTGTGACAAAGTGAGCAAAAACAGAGCAGAATGACAGAAAAGCAGGGACTTTGCTTGCCTGGTTAACATGCATTCAGAGTAAAGAAAAGAAAAAAAAACAGCATTGTTTTCTTCACCCACTAACAGAAAACATGCTTATAAACAGTGCATTTACAAAGCATGAAGCATGAACATTTGTTTCAGGAAGAAGCTCTGAGGAAAGAAAAAGTTGTTTGGCTTCAGAAGGAGACGACACGTGATAAGATCCTGCTCACATTTAGTCCAAGTTAAGTCACTTTGTAGATTGAACCCCTAACATAAAATGCTTTAGGGAGCACAAAAAGCTCCCTGAGTAACAGTATATTCATGGAAAAGTGTTTAAGAAAGCAACTCTGAAATTAGAAGTTGAGCCAAGACTTCTAATAAGAGTTTCCTGAAATTAGTGCTTTTAAATGTGTAGTTTAAATTGGTGTTTTATGCACTAAAAGTCAAGTCCAGATTCAGAAAAGTATGTTATGTAAATTCAGCGCTGCAGTAAAAAGCAAAAACTGTGTGTTGCAGTGAGCAGACAGCCAGTAAAATGGCAGTGATGGGGATGGATGGCCGGCACACCTTCAATAACCAGCATTGTAACAGAAGAAAGAACAGCGTCCAGAGAAAGTGAAAGCTAACAGTGAGCTACCTGCTTGTGTGTGTGTGTGTGTGTGTGTAGCTGTAGTGCATGCCAGGGGCCAAGCCAAGCAAAGCAGACAGCCATGGATGGTCACAGGTTTAAGGACGATGGTTGGCGTGTTTGACTGTTGCTTATTGTGTGCGTAAAACCGTGAAAAAGAAAGAAAAACAGAACAATAGAAAGAAATAAAGTCTGAAAAAGGCCCATGACCAACCAACAGAAGTAGGTAGCATCAGCACATATAATGGATCTGCAGCAGAAATGTAGACACACATGGAGCTTCAATTATTGTCAAAAATACAGATATAAAGTTTAGGGTCATACTTTCCCTGACCCTTTAATTGATGAATCTATTTCCCACTAATGGTAAATACAAAAGAGAATCACTACAAAAACTCTCTACCACAAACATCCAAATTACAGTGCAAGTCGCCCACGACAAAAACAGAATGAAAGCATAAAAAAGTGCTCCAAGGACAAGGACGTCGGCTCAGCCAAAACCGAATGAGAAAGGCAGACCGGCCGTTAGCTACGGCCTTCCTCCTCCTGCAGATCCCCATAGCTTACACATTGAACACATTTTCTTACCAAGCCAAGTGTATTAATCTACAATCCATTCCCTACCAAGAACATTTGAATATACTGTACAATTAAAGGGGGATATCTCTCAGGTCAACAATCCCATGTTATCCTTGTGGTTTAACTCCAAACAACCACAGACGGCTCTAAAGACAAACCGTATTTCACAATGACTTTCACATCCCTTTATGAACTCCAGCTATCATCTTAAAGCCCTTCTATTGCACAAGACAACAGTCAAATAATTATAAAAGTCTGATTCAGAGAAAATGCTACATTAGGACACTACAATGATTACAATTCTATTAGGGGAGTAATGACCGAGAAAGGCAGTAGATCCTGGTCAACTCAACAGCTATCAAGTGTTAAAGTTCCCCTAAAACCAATGCCACCTTATTTACGTCCGTAATGTCTCAACAACACGCAAACAGCAGTTACAAAAATGAGCTACAATCAGCAGAATCATCATTTCTCCCACTAGGAATAGATTGACGTGAATAATATCGATGCTATGAAAATTATTTTCTCGAAGAAAAACAAGGAAGAATTGTAGAAACAGTCTTCCCCACAAAAACTACAATTCTACAGGTGACAGGATTCCCGACATAAGCTGTTTAAATCTGCACGTACATCTATACTGAATATACAGTTTTTATGTTATGGCACGTTGTAAGGAACATTATCTATGCTGATTTTACATTTTACAAAAAGCTGACTGAAGTGCCTCCAGGCTGTTAGGATTGATTCTTCTATCGACAAACAGCCAGCAAAAGTGTTGTGTAAAGTTAGACTAAAGTCAGCAGTTTGCTGTAAAGTTTGTGTACAAAATTCAATACAAAAATGGGGGATTGTGAGGTTTAGAAACAAGGTATTCATCTAAAAGTAGGGCAGGTGTTTCTATTCACAGTTTTTAAAAAAAACAACTCAAAATATGTCAAAAAATATGTTAGAACCTTGACATATAAGTTGTATCACAGCTAAACTATTGTAAACAAGTGGACTAGATCTATAGTAGCAATTCACATTTGCGTACTTATAATCAATATTATTAAAGGAATAGTTTTCAGTCTTCACTAATGTAGCTGGGTGGTTAAGTTTGAACAATTCTTCAGCTAAGTAAGTTTATCTGTACTAAACTGAGATGTTGCCTTACGTTCTTACAACAGGATTATATTTGCTCTGCATTATAATGTCCCTAATGTGAGGCTCAACTGCTCGCACATCTTCACCCTTCAACAGCTGAAAACCCGGCCTCCTACATCTTCCTCGTTAAAGCGGTAACACCCTTCCTCCTCTGCCTCACCATCCTCCCCTTCCTCCAGCTGGAGACTCCCGAAGGAGAACTTGCTATGCGGCAGAGGGGACGAGTTCACGCCGTTCGAGTTAACAGAATTCATGGAACTGACAGCCACAGGATTGCCGTACATTAACGGCTGGCTGTACGCGCTGCTACCGGTGTCCGACTCTGTGTCGCTGGTGTCGGTGCCGCTGCTGGTGGAGCCGTCGATCATTTGTACCGGCTGGTTTAGATTGTTGTGGTTGTTACGGCTCGGGTTGTTACCGGGCTTTCCCTGACGGCCGAACAAACGCTGCACCCCGTTGGACCGAGCCTGACCTGGAACCATAGGGTTCCCCGCATGATTGCCGTTAGTTATTATCATTCTTCGCTCCATCGGGGCGGAACATGGGGCCTGGGCATGCAACCCGGAGCGATGAGGGTCATGGTGGTGGGTGGGAGTGGATGTCAGTTGGCTCAGAATGAATGGATCAGTATCAGAGCGGTTCCTCATGTTGTTGTTGATATACGGTTTGGCGAAATGTGGCGGTGTGCGGTTTGAGGTGATCGGGGAGTAGCTACCGTACTGGTTTGGCAGGTGGGATGGCGGTGGGACAGTGGGAGTTTCCACTGGGAATATTCCCGGTCGTTTAGTGAAATAATGCCCGCCGTCATCCCAGCGTGTGCGAGACTGACCGTGACCATTTGTCATCTCAGCGTGACTGAGAGAGTTTGTGCGGTGGTGGAAGCTGCTGATCACCGGGCTCGAGCACTGACTACGAGTCCCGGTTCCTAGCGGTCGCCCTATCGCTGCACCTCGCTTGTCTCGACCCTGAAAGATCTCATCCAACAGCGTGCTGTGGAGCGGGAGGCGGCCCTGAAAGGAACCTCCATTGGGCAAAATTTCATCATCTGTTAGCTCATGACTCACATTAAACTTATTAGACACTGGACAGTGATCTACAGTGCTTCTGTTACCCAGCATACCTTGCTGCTGTTGCTGCTGCTGCTGCTGCTGCTGCTGCTGCAGCGTAATCATACCCTGCTGTTGATGCTGCTGCATCAGCCCCTGGTGATTGGTGTGGTAGAACCCATTTACAACCCCAAACAGACTCCCAGTTTGCCCCCCATTGTGACTGCTCCCCCCATGCTTGTTATCATATACACAAGGCTCATCTGCATTGCTGTCATTTGCATTGCTGTGGCCCCTGGTGGCCCTGTTGTTCTTTGTCACATCACATTCACTGTCTATGTCGCTGCAGTCTATGTAAGGAATAGAGGAGCTGCTGCCTTTGTTTGCCCTGCAGGATGGACCTGGGTTGAGGAACTGCGGGTCCGGCGCTGATCCGGTGCTGTGGTGGTTCTGTCGGGACTGGATCGGGTCTGAGCCGGGCGCTGCCGGTACATCGCGGAAGCCGTTGGTGGAAGATGCGGCAGCTTGTGGCTCCTCCGAACCATTAGATTCAGCTTGATGGGCCAGTCTGGCTGCGTCAGGCTGGTCTGCTAACTGTACAGACATGGCACTCTGCAAATGAGGAAAGGGAAGATAGAAGACAGAAAGAAAGAAAGAAAGAAAGAAAGAAAGAAAGAAAAGGATTGATGACAAAAAGGAGCCAGTTAAGAGGAGAAGCTTTTGAACTCTTATTTAACTGGACTCATTATACTGAATTACAGACTTTGAATAAATTGTTTACGGGAACAGATTGGACAAAGCACACATTTACACACTCACTCCCTGGAGCTGCTAAGGACAAAACCAGCTTTGTATTTTAGGCCACAGAGCAGCTCTAGATTTAACCAGAGAGGTAGAGAGAAGTAATAAAAACAGACACAGAGAGCCTGTAAAAGTGCACAACAAGTCAAGTTACAAGGAAGGTTTAAGGAGATAAAACCAATCTAAAACATACAACATTATGTGTGAATAAAGGTCAATGTCTGCTGGTATTAAAGTGTGAATCACCTCTTTTGGCACTCTGAAGGAAGACGACTGAGGGGACATGCCGCTGTTGGACAGAATCTTACTGTGCTTCCTGAAGAGAGAGGAGGGGACAGATGATGTCAAACCACGTGCAACTAACCCAGAAATCTGATCGCTGGTTTGTGTTCTTTCTACAACAGTAACTTCACCTTTCAAATGGGACTTTCTTGAGCTCCGAGTCTTTCACATAATCGATGATCTGCTTCTGGGTTCGACCACTGCAGGCATAATGAGAGAACAGCAGGTGAAGACAAACACAAACGTAGTATGTTCCCATCTTTCCCTTTCTGTCCTCTCCTTACCTGAACCGGAATGAGGATCCTCTGGTGAAGAGGATGGGCTTGGGTTTGGGCTTGGGCTCCTCGAAGAGCCTGAAGAAGGCGTGATACTCCACGCAGATCTTCCAGAAGATCTTACAGCAATCCCTGCTGGCCATGGCAAATTCCAGCGTGTCGTGGTGGGCATTCTGCTGGAAGACGCAGAGGCGTATGGATGCAGGACAGATGAATAGATAACTATAATATTATACGAGAAAGCAAGGAAAGAATTCATTTCTCCCCATTACTTGGACTTACAGTGGGGTCTGCTCTCAACTTGATTAGGAACCTTTTGCGTTTGAAGCTGAGCTTGCGAACCTTGGACCAGTTGAAGGCGTTAATTTTTGTGTACCCCTGATTAAAAGGAGAAGAGTCGCTGATTAACATTCATAAAACATTCATTATCTTACATGCAAAAAGACAAACTTGAACACATTGGAGAATGAAAATGAAAACGTTTATTCAATTTCCCTCCAAAATATACTGTTTCAGCTTGACTTAATTTGACAACTTCTAAGCATACAATAATATGTATAATAAGTATGTAAAATCCAAGACACATAATATAGATGGACTTCCTAGTTCCCTCTACATTTGATCCTATTTTGGATTAACAAGCTAACCACAAGCACAAACTACCATTAAGCACGTTCTCCTCCTCAAGCTAAGAGGTAGTTATCAGTGAGAATATAGAAAAGCAGCACATCACCCCTTTTTCAACCTTTAACGGAAAACATTTCAGGAATTTACAGCTCAAACCTAAATATGCAGCCTAGTACTTGACTCTGGAACCACTCACATTTCAGCAAATCAATTTGAGATATATAAGTAGGTTGCTGGAATCTGATGTTTATTGGTTTTACCTGGAAAACCAGCACCCCGGTGTGCGCCACAGCCAGACTGAGTTTAGTACCCTCTCGGTCCTTGGCCGGGTGCAGACGAACGCCGTACATCTCCAACCGCCGAGCGATTTCCAGCAGCTGATAGTCTGACACTGCAGGAGTCTGTCCGCTGCAGAGAGGAGTGATCAATCAATCCATTAATTAGCCGATAATCAATATCAATCAGCAGCTCATGTAACTCGCTGAAGCAGGAAGAAAAGTTTGATTTAGTTGCGTTTTTCTTTCTTTTTCTGTTCTGTAAGCCTGTAGATAACGTGTCTCCACAGCCATAGGACTGTTACCATGGCAACAACCATAATGATTTTTATTTAGAGTACTTCCTGATTGATTTGTCCACATTCAGGAAAATCAATATCCCTAAACAAAACTGGTAATTTGTCATTGTTTAAACTGAATTGTTCCAGTTATTAGACAGGTCCCATTCCAGGTTTCTAGTCCAGATTTAATGTGAATGTAGAAACAACAAACAATCTCCGCAGGATCAGATGGCAATGCCCACTGTGGGCGGAAAGAAATGTGCCACAGAAAGAAGTTTGTTTCCTCACAAATCCGAAAATAGCTTCCTGTTTCCTGTATGAGCTGCTGAATGAGCCACTTCCTTCCTGCGTCGGCTAGGAGTGGGTGAGGGATTGGAGAGGAGGGGGAGGGGAGAGCAGGAGCCGGAGAGAGAGAGAGAATGGGTATGTCGTGTGACCATGACAAGTTATGAGCAAGTGTGTGGTTTTCAGCTCTTATCTGTAGTTAAGGAAGGTTTTTAAGGGAATTTACATCTCCAGAAAAAGGAAATGCATTTGTCATTTACATGCAAACAGCAGCAGAAAGGTGTGTGTGTGTGTGTGTGTGTATATGTGTGTGTGTGTGTGTGTCTGTGTGTGAAAATGTGGTGTCCCAGGGGCATAGAGGGAGTGCCAAGTGGTATGTTTGTGGACAGCCACCTCTGCGGGGGAGAGATTAAAAGTGTGTGTGCACGAGTGTGTGTGAGTTGTTGTGGTTAAAAGATAAACCATCTCTGCAGGAGAGATACTTATGGGTTGGGTGTAATTGTGCAATGGGTGTGTTTTTTGAATAAACAGATAAATATCTGTGTGTGAGGCTGTGACAGTATATGTGCTCTGTGTGTGTGTGTGTGTGTGTGTGTGTGTGTGTGTGTGCTTATGCGAAAAACTATTTCTCCCGACACCTTCAAGCTTAATGCCACCGAGAAACTGATCCCCAGTCAGACTAAAGCTCGGCTTAGTATTGTTTTCCAAGCAAGGATAATCTTGAACACATATTTCCAGGTAAACGGTGGTGTAACTGTTACGCATTGTTCCTTCACTCGGATATTTGAGCTTCTCCGTGCAGAATGATGTTGATGTAGTTTGACAGTAAGACACTGTTTTCAGGTTCATCTGTTAAAAAGGAGGAAAGTTTCTCTGTGTTCACCTTAAATCTGAGTTTAAAAACATCGTAATAAGCCTGAGAGCCAATCACGGTCCAGTATGCAACCATGCATCCAGCATACAAAGAGTTAAACATTTGAAATGGAAAAATATCTGATTCTGGATTGTTCAATGTCAGAAATTGTAGTTAATGAATCTTTTTCATGAAAAAAACATATCAGACACACATTATTATATAAAAACATGTCTGTGGGGGTCTTAAATTTAGAAGTGCACGTTATTCTCACAGTGAAGATAAAACGTGTGTACAATAAACACTGTTCTGAGCAATTCTATAGAAAGTATAATGTATATAGCACTATTAGACCTGAATCGATAAGTCAAATAATTTGATTAGAAGCGACAGAACATTAACTGACAACTATTGAATATTATAAGATATTTGGAAATAATGTTTAGCTGTTTTTACCACCATGTAGAGTGAAGATATATTATTATCATATAGTAAATGCATATGTAGACATTGATGTGATAACTCACACGTGCTTGCGGTGGCACTCGGTGATCTTGTCTCTGATGGCGTCCTGATCGGGCAGGTACTTATTGTGGAGGAGATGCTGCCAGCTCTGGGTCTCATCGAAATCTCCTATCTCGGCTGATGGAAAGGAGGGGAAGGAAAGAGGAATAGGGGGAGAGAGAGAGAGCGAGAGAAGGGTGGCAGAAGACAATTCAATATTTATTTGGAGTGAAAATAAGGAGAGCAATAGGGTGAGGTGGGTGACAGGGCTGAGAGAAGATTAAATAAAGATGCAGAGTGCTGAGAAAAAGAGGATATGAGCAAAATGCAGACAGCTGAGAACTCAAGCAAATACAACAAAATAAAATAAAACATACACTATTTTACGTCTGTGATTTATTTTCCTGTCTCTTTTCTACTTTAAATCGTATTTATCCTCCATGCCAGTCTATTGTACTGTAGATCAGACGAACTGTGCTGATGCATGCGTCTCCATCTGTCCAATACCAGCTATAATAAACCCTCATAGTGTACCACCCGCAGGTGCACATACAGGCACAGCACTGGCGGTTACCACGGCAACCAACTCATATTCTTTAGCATGCTGCGCCGTGGTCCCCGCCGCTGTCTGCACGGCTGAATTGAATCCATAAATCCAGCAGCATACGGCGCTGAATCACAACGTCTGCCGTGGTGAACGCTGGTGGAAATACAGCGTTCATTACATTCAAATGTAACGCATGATGTTTATGTACAGTAAGGTGAAGAGTGACAGGAGGGAAACACAGCAGCATGAACTGGGAGCAAGGGCTCATGTCGGCACAGCATCTGCCCTGCAGGAGTGAGCTTACGTATGAGATCATCCTCCCATTAGTGTTACTAGAAGTGTTAAATATTGAGCTTTGTATTGAATTGATTCTCTTTCAGTCATTTATTCAGTAAACTAAAGTAGTTTCATCTTGAATTACTGACACACAAGACATAGTACATGAAATGCTGTGGAAAATCCCTCTAAGGGAATATCTGTCATGTGTCTGGTGATTTATGTTCCTCCGCTTAAGGGAAGCACTCATGGATTTTCTTTCCACAATGAGACGAAAAAACCTTTTCAGAAACCTAAAACATAAAAGTTGCTGGCTTCATCGAGTGTTATTCAGAAATATATGTCCTTCACATACATGTTTATTGTGGCTCTATTTAGACACGACAGGCCGGGACACTGCCTTTAAAGCCTTAAAGCAATAGCCATAATTAGTGTGAGAGAACTTCTTCGCACAGTGGATTTTCTCTAACATATCTTAAATGTTTGATGTTATTATAGACTGATCTGACATGAGTAGAAACACATCAACAACTAAACAGTGGCTCATTCACAATGCTTCACAACATATTAAGCTGATTTCCTTTTATTTGTGCAGAAGATATAATAATTGAGTGCCATGTTTATTACAGTGTTCTTATGAGTGTGAATGAGACGGTCATATAATCTCTCTCTGTGCATGTTTCACTTTGTGCTGCTGTTACTCAACAGGGTGCACGTCCGAGATGGACTTTTTCATTAGATTTTATCCTACACCGAGACTAAATTTCATATTTTGTTCACCGCTCCTACCACACTGTACTTACATGTGTGTGTGCCTGTATGTGCTGCACTTACACTGAATGATGTGAGAGACCATGAGAGCGGCGCTGGTGTCGTTACAGATAAGACGACCACAGGCCAGATCGTGTTTAATCTGCAGGGCAAACAGATACCTGGAGGAAGGAAATAAGAGATTGCATCACAGACAGAAATAAAAGAGAGTGTGGGAGGGAGAAATGATGGAGGAGAGCAAGGGGGTTATGAGGTTAATGTAGCTTTATAAACTCAACTGTTAAAAGCAATTCCATTACCATCAAAGTGATGGCATTTATACACACTGAAACACACACATACACAAAGCTAATACTTTGCATCTACTGAATTAAAACTAATCCCTAATTGAGAGAAAGAGCTTTTCTGTTAATCATTATGCAGTCGGCTACTTATATCATGATCTGGAGAGTAGAAGAGGATTGATACGCTGCATTTCAATGAAGAAACAGCAAACACTATGAAGACTGTAGTGCATTAAGACAGCTGACCTCAAAACCAAATCAGATCAGAGACAAGGCACAAACTCCATAAATTCTGTTTGCTATTATTTTGTACTGACGCATTATTTTTTGAATGTATTATATATATAAGGTTGCAATGAAGCCAACGAAAGAATAAACACAGTCAGTAAAAAAGGACAGAACCAGACCTAATTAAAAACATGGTTGGCTGATTCTCAAGCTCTCTACTTACTGTTCTGGGACAAATAGTGGACTGGCTGCCAGTGTGTATGTGTGATTAATAGTCCATGGCAGCTTTTTATGTGATATCCAAATAAAGCTTTTTATAACTGCACGATTAATAAAGTTAATGAGGCTTTGGTGAGTTTCATAATTTTTTGATCTTAGCCTGGAGTACTTTTACCATTTAGGAACACTGCATCAATTTGAAGTGAAATACGTTAAGCCAATCCAAACTCTATAACTTATGGAAACTGTGCTTCGTTCACAGTTTAGAGTGATCCTGCGCTGTACGTAATGTACTAGCAACATGAGGAAGAAACAGAACACAACAGCAAATACAATACAGAATCTCTTCCTCAGACCTCACGTCATTATATCAGAGCAGCACTGACTGGCCACTGTCCTGTTTTTAATAAAAGGCTAATATCAGCTTGATGTATCTTCAAAGAAGTCTTTCTTCCATCTGTCCGTCTACATATTTTGTCTTTGTGTGCCCACACTAACTATCAAAGGAAACACTGACCGCAGCAAAATGCTGTGAGGGCCAAACAAAAGGAAAAAAGGCTGTGTGCCCACTTCCTGTTTAATGCTGGAGTCAGCTGGCTCACTCCAAGACAATATGAGATCAGTGGAATAAACAGCTGACAGGTCGAACAACGTCAGTGGAAAAATATGTAAAGCGTTCTCGAAATTATCATCCTTAAGATTTCATTCCTGGTCGATTCGGCGACCTTCGTGGTCCGTGGTGGTAACAGCAAGTGCAGTTTTACACTACAGCTGAATGCTTTGAGGAGGAAATGTTGGCTTTGCATTAGCCATAACTTACTACTAAATGTTACACACTGGACCTTTAATACAGCCATGACACAGCTGTAGCAAAGTGACACAGGATTACATGAATGCATTGTCTCCTGTCATACCAACTGTACATTCGATAAAAATAGGGTTGATTATAACTTGAAGTCTTTATTAAATCTCAAGAGATCCCTCACAGATGCGAGGCACTACGCTCGCTTCCTACTTGGCTTTAGTCTCAAGTAAATTCAGCTAGGCAGTTAGAGGGAACCACATCATCATGGGAAAATGTGGAAGGTCAAATCATTCTCATATTTATGTTATGGTTATGTGATGTTAAACGGCGCTGTGCTGCAGCTAAAACTTGAAGTCCTGAATGAGCCCAGACAAGCACAAACAGTCCAGTCAGTGCACAGACAGTCAGTCTAAACAAAGCAAAGACAGACAAGATGGTGGCTGATAATTCATACGAGTGAGGCAATAGGTGGGAATGTGAACTCTTGTCCTATAATCTAATCTTTGTCTTAATGCTAACAGTGCAAAAAGGATGCTTCTCCAGATACAGCTGGATGTCTGAGATTACTGTAGCATCAAAATACGTCTTCCAGAGAAAGGAGTTTCTAAAACTATGGCTCATTACCCTAACGTGGCCAGAGCATCTCCTTTCAGCTGGTTTGGAATAACAAATGTTTTCATGAGTTTGGTTTCCAGATGACAGAATAAATGTCTGTGGGTGCAGAAAAGAAAATACAACTTCTTTCATGTTATGGCATGCACATATAAATATGTTATAAATGCTAAGTGGCTGAGCAAAACGAGCTGCAGACATACTGTAACAAGGCCTCAGACACAGTTGTGAAACTCCTTCTGAAGGACTGAGAACATTCTGGCCAGGGAGAAAACCAACAGCAAAACAACATCTTTTAATCTAAAGAGGTTCTTCCTCAGATAGGTGCGGTTTCTGTGTCGGCAAGACCTACCGAGTCAGCTCCTCTGAGAGCTGTGTGTGGTCAGGGGGGAAGAACTTCACCACAAAACGAAGGATGGTGTTTTTAGGGCCTGAAGGGGGGAAAAAAAAGGGATATGGTTAGGAGGGAAGAGACAGGAAGGGAGAAGTAGAGATGAAAAGAAGGATGTAGAGAAAAATCCTTTTACCACCACTTTCTCATATAATCATTGAACAGCGGCACACTGTGTGTTTGAGGGTTGAAAGAAGAGACAGAATCTGAGAGCTACTTACGTCTGATCTGTTTCAATGTTGGCTTCAGCAGATCCAGCCACACCTATGGAGGACAAAACACAAATTAAAATTCTTTAAAATGACCTAAAATAGTTCAATAGCTAAATAAACAGTAATGGTAGAATAGTGTCAGCAGGATTGCCACAACAAAACATCTAGAAAAAATGGAAACCTTAACCTTAAGTTTCACATATTTGCATGTAGCTGACTTGCTGTGCACGGACTAATTCGTGTTTCCACCAGACACTTTAAAGTATAGCACCCTTACCTGAACCTAACCCATACCTAGATGCATTAAACCCTAGAGCTGTTAAATGTAGGAGGGGTTGTTACCGAGGTGTAATGACAAAAGAAGACAGAGTGGAGTCGTTCTTTGGCAATGAAAATGTGAAAAATAATTCTTATGTAAAGCGAAGTAAACTGAACTAAACTGGAGGCCAGTTAGTCCAGTAACAGGAAACTGTCTCTATTTCCATATAAGAAATGCCAAATAAAATGTAAAAGTAAATTGTAAAGGAAAAATATTCAGAAATGATTTCCTTTCTCCAGCTTTCTAGAATATTAAGCACTCAAATGCTGACACTGCTACACCTATTAGTACAAAATGACATTACATTTGATCAAATTACCACTTAACACACCACTACACTTGGAAATGCAATGTGAACTCCTTATAAAGCATAAAGGCAGTGTTATAATGAAAATGTCATGCCTCAAGTACACTGTATAGTATATTATGAATATGGGTTATTTATCACAGCTATAAAAGTCACACTAGCTAACATAAACAAGATAAGAATGCTCCGTTATCGACTTGATGTATAGCTGCTTGTATTTGTGTGTGGGTCTGGCTCTTTCTGTGTGTGTGTGTGTGTGTGTGTGTGCTGACAATGTTGTCATTATTTTGGCAGCATTACACCATTTGTTCCACCGGACCACTTGACCACTAAAACGCACAGTGGGTGTCTGTGTTTGAGTCCACGGAAATATTTGTAAGTGCATATTGACAGACTGTTCTTTCTCTAAGAGCTACAGACTGACTGTTGCCCTTTATTAACTTTTACTAACTTTTTAATGCGCTACTGCAGATTCTTGCAGCAGGCGTTGGCAGCCAGAGCAGCAGTAGAGACAATAGCATCTGCAAACTACAGACACACCCCTGGAGCCTTACAGCAAGTGTGCAAATGATTACAACCAGCTGCTCTTTCATGAAATAGGTGGAACAACTGAGTCCAGGTGGAGGCTTAAATCCACACTGATGTAGATGAAAGGACGATAGGCAAAAGACGAAGCTCCAGGAGTCCTCTGAACAAGCTTAAAACATTTTATATGTTAAATGTAGATTTGCATGAGTCACGCGGTTTAATACCAGGCAACAAATGACAGAGAAATATTCTGTTAAAAGATTTGCATTTGGGTGGTAGCTGCAGGCCAAAATAACCAAATTATTAGGAAAATTAGGCTTTCTAGCTGAAGCTACTTTGAGAAAAACTGCACTGAAATCATAATGACAGTCATTTAAATATGTATCTAGTCAACTTTTAAATATCAATATGCCAAAATAACACACAGCATAACAGGATATATGACACAAAATACCACCGTGTGCGGCTGTGTAAGTGTGTCTCTCACCATCATCTTGCGCTGGTCCTGGTACTCCAGTCCAAAATAGTCTCCCTCTGCCAGGTTGAGATGGACACAAACCAGGTCAAACAGCACTTTACCAGGGGAACGTTGCTGGAAGAGAAGAACGGAGGTGTAAAACATTTGATTCCAATAGGGAGGAAAACCGGAGGATAGGAGAGGAGAGAAGAGGGAAGGAAAGTAATGCAGAGGTCACAATGTCACACAGCATCTCATCAAGGGAGTGCTGGTAATGGAAGTGAGGAGAGCAGGTCTTTTTCAAAGGTTATTTCAAAGTGATTTAATAAAGTGTCATTGAGCTTTCCCTTAAGACTGCATTTTATTTTTTTAAATATAACTATCTTAAAAAGGAAGCTGGTCAAACATGGCACAAGTACACTGAAAAATCCTGACTCGTGGAGGCAATTTTCTCTAACGAGCTGCTCCTCGCTTAACAAGGCAATGACCTTTGCCCTTGATGAGAGGTTTAGGCACCAAGTTGGAGATTAATGAATCGCTGGAGGCCGAGGGTCAGGTGAGAGTGCTCAGAAACTACCACAATGCCGCAAGAAAAGTGTGTTTGTGTGTGTGTGTGTGTGTGTGTGTGTGTGTGTGTGTGTGTGTTCTGCGTCTAATGATGTAGCTTTACCTGATGCTGACAATGCAGATCGAGCGTTGCTTTGTTAGCATGTATGACTTTGTCTGGATTCAGCAGCAGGAACATTAAAAGCATCAAACAATGTCTTCAACAGAACTTGGAATTTCCAAAATAGACACAGACGTGGAACCAAACCCAAAATTAGCCCAGAATAATTTTCTCCGAGGCAGTTGAAGCGAAATGGTACCACCCTGGGTTACAGCGTACTATTATACATTCAGTACTGAGGCTCTAGTCAAGTTAATGTGTAGTTATATGAAGGCAAGCATTCCTTCCTTTTGACACACACAAGCAAAAACACAGAAAACTTACACTTTATATTCACCTTAAGATCAGGAAAGGTGTTAATGTGTGTGTCTATTAATGTTCATGTGTCTCTGTGCATTATATAATGCTAGATATTGTGATTATAGTGTCCTGAATATTCAGAAATTAAAAATATCAAATGAAATCAAACGCAAATGTCATATAGCACAAGATAAACAGATTTAATTATAGTAGATACACCATTACTCATTCTACAAATTGGACATTTTTCAACATTCGCTTTCGATTTCCTTCAATAAAAAGGGTTTGCGAGTATTTCACACATCCAAATTTAAGCCCCATCACATCAAAAGGATTTTGATCCAAAGCCACGACTTTATAATATTTCTAATATCTTTGTATTTTGACTGAATTTAGAGAATGCCTATTAGTATTAACCTGTAGATTGTTTGGTACACATAATTTGCTGCAATGTTTAACCATTTGAGAGATTTAAAATGTCCTTTACATCAATGTAAAGTATAATTTCTATTGCTTATAAATAATAATTAAGATCTACACGCAATAGTCAATTCTTGATTGTATCCTAGCCATATGTAACTACTAAATTGTGACTTAGTACAACTAGGATGGAGGAAAAAACTGCACAAATAGCAGCACTATCAAAAAAAAGCTGTCAGTGGAGAGTAAAGAAGGCAGAAAGTGGTGAGAAGAAAAATGAGGAGGAGAGGAATCAGAGCAGTGAGGGCCAAAGTGTGAGCCAAGTCTGTCACCATCTGGCTACCGTGTGCGTATGTGTGTCCATCTGTTTCTGTGTGGTCAGTCTGTCTGTAGGGACACTCCCACATACTGTACTCACACACATACACACTTTCTACCCAGGTCTCCAGAAACAATGTTGGCTGGCTGTCAGATAGTTTGTTGTATGCTATGACAGAGAGGCTGGGAGCTTGATGCCACTGTCATATGCAAAGCCTGAGGATCTCTGGAGTTTGGACAGGATCCAGGTCTGGGTGGAGGTAATCTTGGCTTATAAAGGAGGTTAAGAGGGGAGAGGAGAAGAGGAAGTGGGGGAGAACAGGTTGGAGGAGAATCCGAGAGCAAACACGGCTTAAAGACAGGAAAGGAGACACAGGAAAAGAAACCTCGATGGAAAATAAAGACATCTTGGTCAAACTCCTCTTTTTCTTGCTTTTCCTCAAGCTGTCGCCACAAATGTATTAGTTTCATTCACTCTATTGATTCACCCCTAAACAAATTCTTGTCCTCACGACTTAAAAACTATTTGTATAACTTCTTTGTCCCTCATTTGCATTGTTTTTTTATTAAACAGTACTCTTGGTCAGCTATGCACGCTTCAAATTTGCATCATTAGAAACTTGCACGGAAACTCCTGTAAGAAACGTCCAACTTCAACAATACAGGGTCCAGTTTTCTGCAGAGCAGTGTTGGGCTTGGAGGAGACACAGGAGCGTTATCGTGTGACCCAAAACACACATGCTGAGGCAGAAAGGAAGAGGAAGATGGTGGATGGTGTTAAGAGATTTTACAGACTGAGGAAACTGGGACAGAATTTGTGAGCTGCATGACACAAATTAACTCTTGTAAAACACCTGCTGAGAGAAATAGAGAAAAGACAGACCTAGAAAGGCTGACTTTTTTTGTACTTCTGTGTGTACAAAGTAATGATTAGGATGCCACAGAAAAGCCTGAGCAGGAGAACATTTGGAAACGGGGTGCAGCAGGTCATGTTTTAGAAGATGAACTTAATTAGACTGAGGCAAGACTTCCAAGTATGTTTTGGGCAAAAGTAATTTCCCTTAATATCAGCAAACCCTTCTCCAATAGCTACAGTAAGCCTGTGTGCATGCATTGGGGAGATATCACGTATCACATTCAAGTAATGTAAGACACTGGAATGTCATTGAGGGAACGGTGGTGAACTCTTCAGATATCAATCCTGGTTACAATAACACAGGAGTCACGAACACATGACGTGTCACCGTACAGGCTGCTGTATCTTCTTACAGCCATGTGCAAAGACTAAACACAACTGGTTCAATAAAGACACTCAATTCTGCAAGCGCTGCCAAATCTTATTTCACAGGTCTGGTCTGAATTAATTTATTCAACGACAAGGTTGCAGCAAAACCTCAGAGCCTAAATTTAACCTAAAGTGAGTGTAAACTTTTGTGAAAGGGAGCTGTAATGAAAAGGTGAGAGCAGAAGTGTTGGAAAGCGGGACTTAAACCTCATAGGCGTGTTCAGAATCAGCTCTTTTTGGGCACTGAAGCAAACCTCTAAAAACAACATACAGTAACTGGCCAAACCCACTGAAAGAAGCAGGCTTCAAACTTCAAAGCTGTGAGTAGAGAGAGGATGGAAAGTGAACATTTTAAAGCCTGATGTCAGACATGATAGAGCTAGGTTTGTAAACCACATTTGAGCTCATCAAGTCCTTTTGGGTTTGATTTCACATTTTAACTTTCACTTTTTATATAGTTTCGCGGAAGAGACAGGAAATGAGAGTGGGACAATGGGAAACTAAACAAGACATCCACTCTCGAAGGGGGCCTTTCTCATTTCTCTAATTTGTGCCTCATCGTGTCCTCGCTCCTCCGTCCTCCCGCCTGTGACCCAGAATCAAAATGAACTCCTCAAATACATGAACACATACATAAAAGACAGTAAACACAGTAACACTACAAAGACAGTTATGAGTCTGGCCATTATGCTACGTTGTGAATTGAATTACAAGTAAATATATAAAATGAATAATTGTTATGAACACTGTTATGCTCATCTGAGAAAGATACAGTGGTAGTCTATAAGAAAACAATGGACAGAAGATGCAGCTGTGCAGTTGACGCAAGGACATTTCATTTTGTTAAATGCCTGTCGCCTCGACTCCTCTCACTGCTCTGGTGGGAGGGACTAAGATGCGAGGAGAGGAACTGAGGATGCACAAACTGGGAAATGAGAAAGGCCTATAGTCACAGGGGACTGAAAATAATGTGTAAAGCTCTGTGCTTCAGCCCTCAAAATGGAAAAAAACAGTTTTCTATGGCTTCAAAAAGGCTCAGGTGGTCAATTTCTTAGTAAAAGGTCCAGCCATTTTTTGGATTAAAGTGTCACACTCAGTTCTAGCAATTACTAAGCATTTAAAAGCAGGTAGATGAAGCTGCTCTCTGCCCTTTCAGGGTTTGTACGTTCAGGCTGTTCAAAAACACCACTGTAAGCACATACAGTAAGCAGTGGAGCAAACGCTGCTTACTAAGTTAAAGTGACACTCAGCCTGTTCTCATGATCTGCTCTCATCTTGGCAACAGTCTCGGCAGAGGAAATGCTCAGCCGACCGAGGTCAAACGTGATATATATAGGTTTTTGCTCTTGCTGGGTAACAAATTGGGAAAGTGAGGATGTTAATGACAGAGCACCTCGGGCAAATCTCTTCAAGTCTCATAGTTTGAGAGTTTCAAGGTCTAAAAATAACTGCTGTGTATATGTGTTGAAATGTTTCAGCAGAGCAGAGCAGAGCAGGCCCTGTGGAGACCAGACTGAAGTCCTTTCAGTTCAAATCACAATCACTTCATTCAGCAACTACCATCAATGAGCCATTCTCACTCAGCCAAAAACACACTCAGACACACATTTTTATCATATCTTGGAGCGTGATTTTCGTCTCATCTAGCATATGTGGAATGATGCTTTGCACACAGACATACTGAGCACTTCATCTGTTGCTTATGCATACAGCGAAACAGTCACTGGCATGTGCACTCGCATGCAGACACACAATTAAAGAGTCTGAAGTCAGACTTTCCTGCTGCAACTCCGGACTGTAAAAGCAACGTGCAAAGGCCAAGGTCGCGCCCTTTAAAAGGCAGGGTCCAGTTTCACACAGCTCCTTTTGGGCCTCACACCAACACGGTTCTTGTCTTTTAAGATAATTAGAAGGCGAGCAGGTCTAGCAGTGAGCCTTAACAACCAACTGTCCATCAGTGAGCCAGGCTGGAATCTGGCTTCAAGCCTGGCAAAAAAAAAAGGAAAAGCTGAGCCTTAAGAAGTCATCAAAATAGCTCCAGACATGGGAAAAGGAGCAAAAAGCCAGCACGCTTTGAGTACTTGCAACAATTTAGCTTTTAAAAATCCAATGTTCTTGTTTGTGACACAGCTAACGAGGAAAGCA